GGGTCGATCAGAAATCCAATATGGCCACCACGGCTGCCATTTTGGAAAACTATTTCAAACTTAAAGTAAAGATCTACTTGGCCGATTGAACTGAAACTTTGTAGGAATGATCGAATCATGGTCCTGACAAAGTGTTGTTATTTTTCGGGTCAATCAGAAATACAATTTGGCTGCCATGGCCGCTATTTTGCTACTAAGTTCTAATAGGCCGATCTCACTTAAAATTGGTCTAGGAATGATCAGCTCATGGTCCTGACAAAGTTAAGTTAACATTATACTATTTTTTACTCAAATTGGTACATATTTCAACAACAAAAATAAATACTATAGACTCAGGTGACCGTTAAGGCCCATGGACCTCTTGTTCCTAAATATAGCATTGTTTGTCCTAAATACCCCACTGTTTATTCTAAATATAGCATTGTTTTTCCTAAGTATCCCTTTGTTTGTCCAAAATATCCCTTTGTTTGTCCAAAATATCCCACCGTTTGTCAAAAATATCCCACTGTTTGTCCTAAATATCCCTATGTTTGATCTTAATATCCCACTTTTTGTTTGCAGACGACAGACTGTAACAAGTACTCCATGCTGGATTGAGATTCATCTGAACGGACCGCTGCAGTGGCTGGACCGAGTCCTGACTCAGATGGGGTCACCAGGACTACCATGCTCCAGTATGTCTTAGGTCATAGGTGAAAGGTCAACATCAATAGTCATATGATGAACTGAAAAGTGAATTATCAAACTGGATACTTATATTTGTAACTGTTTTACAAAAAAAAAATATATATAAAAACATGACAAAGTCATTGGTATGTCACGGTTGTATGAATGACGTAGGACGCTTGATAGAGAAATAGGAGTCATTGCCTGTAACGGCAGGACAGATGGACAAGTGCTCTGTGTGTGTGGATGGAGGGTCAAAGGTCAGTGTTGATGCAGAAATATTCCCAAGTAGAAAGCTGTCAGGATATAGTGATTTTTGTGGAGAAAGAATGTTTTGCTAGTTGGATTGCTCCTTGACATGGATGAAGGAACGAGATTTTGTGGATCTGTAATACATTTCTTTTATGAAGATTAAAATGTTTGACACATACATCTCTTCAAAAATCACCATGGTTACAAATGGTGTTTGGAACTCTTCTGTGGATAAAGGAAGGAAATGTTAAATAAACTGTGATAGAATGAACCATCTGCAGTGATGAAGTACCATCAGTTAAATGGAACTCTTCTTAGTGTGGAGGAAGGAAAGAAGTGTGAAACTCTTTATTGAGGATAGAACGACAAGGCCTGGATCTCTGCTGGAAGATGTTGCAGGTGAACCATCTTCTGGTTATGGAGGAAGGAAAAGTGTTACATATGGAACTCTTCTTACTGTGGAGGAAGGATAATGTGGTGAATGGAACTCTTCATATTTTAGAGGAAGGAAAATGTGACAAATGGAACTCTTCATATTTTAGAGGAAGGAAGATGTGACAGACAAATGGAACCATTTGTCATTTTTAAGAAATAAATAAAATGTTCTTAAAAGATCAATGATTAAACATGATATGTAGAACATATCTAAGAGAGTTTCCTCAATTTTCAAATTTACTTGAAAACTTATTCTGTTATTTATTGTGCTGCTGGAAATCTTGTTTCTTTCAAGTATTTTCGCACTATTTTGATAGATGTAGAGGAAACATGTATTTATGTCTCATAACGATACTTTGGTGGTTTAAATGTAAATGGCCGTCCAAATGGTATTAATCGCTTTGTCTGACAGTGGGTTTTTTTCTGGGGACTTGAATTGAAGCTATTTCATGTTTGTGCCCAAAACTCAAAATTTGCATTTTACTCCTGAAAATGTCCTATCCAAAATGAGACAAAGATGCCCCATTCCAAATTAATGAAAACAAAACCCTGTCTGAAATGTTCAAATCCCAACATATTTATTCTTGCTGCAAAAAGAATGAAGACAGACAGCAGACCTCCCTCTTACAGTTAGACTTCGTATATTATCTACCATGCAACTCTACATTTAACTTGTTGTGTTAATTGGCTGTTAAGACTACTGTTGACCCTGTATGGTCTGCTTGTGTTGGTAGACTTTTAACTCATTCACCCCTGAAATTTCATAATGAACTATTTGAACCTTTAAATTGGAAGGGTTCAAATGTGTCTTCAGGGGTCTATGAGTTAAGACTACTGTGTGACCCTTTATGACATTAGTTTTTAAAAAAATGAATAAATAGTATTGCAAATAATGACACTGTTAAGACCTGTTAGAACTGTGGGTATTTAAGTAATACATCACCTGACTACATGATACCATTTGGTGGCTATTTATGTGTTCGACCCCAAGCAATTCAAGCAGTACTTGTAACATCAGAAAGGACAGTGGACTCGTAGATCAGAAAGACAGAAAGACAAATGAATTAATGTTTGCCAAAATGTTCAAGGGAGAAAACTGAAAGTTGTTTTAATTGTTGAGAGATGGAAGGAGATAATTTTTGTATGCAATGTAGATTTCATGAGAAACACCAGGTAAACAGAAGGGGTGTTTATCATGGGAAAAGGGAGATAAGTTATGGGGGAAGGGGAGATAATCAGATAAGTTATGGGGAAGGGGAGATAATCCATCAAAAGTGTTAATGCATATACTTCATCACCATAATGTTGTTATTCCTATACATATATACTTCACCTAAGACCTAGGTTATGTCAAGCCTTGGGTGTGATCTACATATATACTTCACCTAAGTCCTATGTTATGTCCAGCCTTGGGTGTGATATACATATATATACTTCACCTAAGACCTAGGTTATGTCAAGCCTTGGGTGTGATATACATATATACTTCACCTAAGTCCTATGTTATGTCCAGCCTTGGGTGTGATATACATATATATACTTCACCTAAGACCTAGGTTATGTCAAGCCTTGGGTGTGATATACATATATACTTCACCTAAGTCCTATGTTATGTCCAGCCTTGGGTGTGATATACATATATATACTTCACCTAAGACCTAGGTTATGTCAAGCCTTGGGTGTGATATACATATATACTTCACCTAAGTCCTATGTTATGTCCAGCCTTGGGTGTGATATACATATATATACTTCACCTAAGACCTAGGTTATGTCAAGCCTTGGGTGTGATATACATATATACTTCACCTAAGTCCTATGTTATGTCCAGCCTTGGGTGTGATATACATATATATACTTCACCTAAGACCTAGGTTATGTCAAGCCTTGGGTGTGATATACATATATACTTCACCTAAGTCCTATGTTATGTCCAGCCTTGGGTGTGATATACATATATATACTTCACCTAAGACCTAGGTTATGTCAAGCCTTGGGTGTGATATACATATATACTTCACCTAAGTCCTATGTTATGTCCAGCCTTGGGTGTGATATACATATATATACTTCACCTAAGACCTAGGTTATGTCAAGCCTTGGGTGTGATATACATATATACTTCACCTAAGACCTAGGTTATGTCAAGCCTTGGGTGTGATATACATATATACTTCACCTAAGTCCTAGGTTATGTCAAGCCTTGGGTGTGATTTTGGTCAGGGAATGATCATCACAAATAGTTCGTATTTTAATTGTATCGTAATAGGATTCTGTCGATCGAAGATTTAGTATTCAAATCAGGAAGGAAAACAAAAGTAACCCCAATCTTATTTTATCTATAACAGATCAATGATTAAGTTTAAATTGAATTGTTATATAATTTTTTAATCTTCACTGATTTTCTGTGTTTTTTTTTATCAAAGCTAGGCTGTATGTAACAACCAGGATGACCTGGAGAATTGTTAGTTCGGATACACACCCTAGTGTTGTTACCTGTCATTGAATGTAGTCCCTAAAAACCCATAGGATTCATCATAAACAGAATAAATGTCTTTGGTCCCTATAAGTCTGGTTGAATCAGAAAATCTATCTATCATTTGATTTCAAAATCAACAAATTTATGTAGAAAATATTTTAAGCATGTTCCCTTTCACCCCTATGTAACTTTAGTAAACTCTTCAATGTTTTGAAATGGATGAGTCCATTATGGTCTACAGTGGTGAAAGGGTTAAGAAAAATATAAAAAGATTACCTTCCTGCTGAAGACTTGGATTGTCAGATTGCTATTTCCTTGTTTTATTAACGATGTGGTAGATACGTGCTTATCAGCCAGTGTTGTATTATTGGTCCTTGTTCAGTGTTTTGGACCTAGTTTTCTTTCCTTTCGTAATCCCTTTTCATCAGGATAACAGTAGACTTGTGGTTACTGTTCCAATTTACTGGTCAATTTTTTCAGAAAAATCCAGTGGTCATCTCAATTTTTACAGAGCAATCTAATGGTCAACTGTTCTCTACTCTATTTCAGTCCAATCTAGTGGCCCAGTCTAGCGGTTAACTTGCTTTCGGGCCAGTCTAGTGGTCAACTCGATGGCAGTAAAGTGTAGTGGTCGGAGCTGATTACATAACCCTTTCACCCCTGTGTAACTTAAGTAGACTCTACCATGAATTGATATGGATGAGTTCATTATGGTCTACAGTGGTGGAAGGGTTAAAATCTGTTACCTAAATAGTGTCTGGCTACCGAACGGCTCTGTACCATCACAGTATTTATATCAACAGTAAATGGCTTTTGCTTACCATTTCACTGGAAAGATTAAAACGTTGTTATTGTTCGCCTATCATAGTTGTGTACATGAGCTTAGTCTATATGTAGCTTGGTCAGTATGAAGCAGGCTTAAACAGATATAGTGCTGGAGTCCGTGTCCTCGAGACGTGGAAATGGAGTAGGCAGGCCCCCCAACAGGAGCATGTGTACGATTCTTATTGTTTGCAATGTTATTTTGTCAAGCTTCTCATTGACACAGATTAGTAGTGTTATGTAGCAGATCAGGAACTAGGTTACTGTATGCAGGGAAATGTTTGCCTCAGTTTAACTTTTAGCCTTTTTTTTGCTGTCTCCAATGAGGGCGAATTTCTTATGACAGCGAATTTAAGCACACAACATGAAAGTTATAGTACATATGTAATTACATGTGAAGGGCGAAGTTCACACGAGCGAACACATGTTTTATCACCAAAGGGCAAAGGTTTTCCGGTATACAGTACTTCAGTAAGCCTATTGGTAAAGATCAATGTTATTGAGAATAAAGTGTGTTTTCATATTTTAGTCTAATAAACTATGAAGTTCACTCACAATTTGTTTCCCATTTTATAACCAAACAACAAGTACATTTAAACTTTGGTCATAAAAGCAATGTGTATTGAAATTGTGGCAAAGACGCAACATTTCATGATGAAGAAATGAATTGAAAATTAAGTTATTGAAACATGGTCCAAATTCTGGCAGACTTGTTGATATCAAGGCAGAATGCTGTGAATGTGAAATTTCAATTAATACTTATACAATTATGTAGACTTTTACAAATTTATTTCCGGTTGTGTTTCGCACTGCATGTTGCAGAGCTATTCAACCCCTGTTCTGGTTGTATTATATTGGTTCCATTAGGGTAGTGAGAAACATGCAACATGTGTCGACTTTCAAATCAACACTTTTGCAGAAAATAACATGTTTTAAGTGTATGTAGGGTTGATGTGAAGTCTGTTTACAGATTTGGGCGTTGTAGAGTTTATTTGCCGTACGGAATCCAAGCAAATATCTAATCCCGGTGTATCATCATCAGTATTTTTGTCATGTAGTTTAGCAAATGTCAGAGTGTGTGTAGGCAACTCCATGAAATAAGGGATGTCACTCTATACTTATATAAGGGAAGTAACTCTAATGTTTAATAAAGAGAAATCATGTAGAGGCGATAGTGCCATGCATTTCTATGGGATAAATCTGAATCGCACATCCATTTCTAAATATATAATAGTAACTGAAGTGTTAGCTAAGAAAAACTTCAGGCAGGAAATCAACTGGTTTACTACTTAACAACTTTTTTGCATCGTGAATCTATTCAGGATTTTCGTATTCTTAGTGTTAGCTGTCGAATCATGGCACACGTTGAAGCTCGTTACTGTAGCAGCATTACGTAATTATGTATAAAGAGATAACAGTATTTCATGCTAACTTCATATTGTTTCGCCTTCCATGCTAATGATATTATATATATAGTTCATTATCAACACACGGGCTCTCGAGATTCGGGGGTAATGAGTTTGTAGAAGGGACAAGAAATGTAAAATGTGTCTGGGTCGACAATGACAGAAAATGTGCCATGGTGGGCAGAAATACAAATGTTGAATGTACTCCTCATGTAAACTGTACATTTATCATTGCCAGTTGCTAGAAATAAAATCGTCATGCATAACACCTTAGTGTGTGTTGTTATCTTTCCGGCTGTCCTCCTTGGCACCCGTCTTCAAATGACCTTAGCTGGTGCGATTATGGTAAATCCAATATAAAATCACGTCTTTAAAGGACCTTAGCTGTTGATAGGACGTCAAACACTATAAAACCAGTACAAAATTGCTGTTTTTGTAGAAAACTTCATTCAGAAATCTCTTGGCCTGCAACATTGCTCCTGGGATCATTAGTATTCAGTCCAAACTTTTTTTAAAGTTAAAATTTCTATTGTTGTATCCAAGTTATTTTACCTGAATAGGGTATTACCACATGAGATATAAATGCACATATTCAAAGACGAAAAGACATGGTCAACATGTACATAGTAATTTGGCAAGATAGAGAATTTGCACACATCTAAAGTGAGAATTGCGTCATGAAAATTGAAGCATTCCTTCAAGAAAGCAGCTGTGCGGACAATGATCCCAAATATGTTACCCTTGCTTCACAGGTGATGCAATAAATACACATACCTTAATATAACTTTATCAGTAAAGACGTTTGGAGTGGATTCATTTAGGAGGATACAATGAGCAGGCATTTATTTTGTTTTTCCATTTGAAAATATGGTGGATTCACCCGCGTATAGGCATATGTGCTTCGCAGATATATAACATGGTAAGCCGCCCTCACATCTTATTCACGCAGGTATACGTAGTTGACAGTAGTGGGAGATAACCGTAGTTGACAGTAGTGGGGGGATGACCGTAGTTGACCATAGTGGGGGATAATCGTAGTTGACCGTAGTGGGGGGATGACCGTAGTTGACAGTAGTGGGGGGGATGACCGTAGTTGACAGTAGTGGGGGGATGACCGTAGTTGACAGTAGTGGGGGATAACCGTAGTTGACAGTAGTGGGGGATAACCGTAGTTGACAGTAGTGGGGGGATAACCGTAGTTGACAGTAGTGGGGGATGACCGTAGTTGACAGTAGTGGGGGATGACCGTAGTTGACAGTAGGGGGGGATGACCGTAGTTGACAGTAGTGGGGGATAACCGTAGTTGACAGTAGTGGGGGATAACCGTAGTTGACAGTAGTGGGGGGATAACCGTAGTTGACAGTAGTGGGGGATGACCGTAGTTGACAGTAGTGGGGGATGACCGTAGTTGACAGTAGGGGGGGATGACCGTAGTTGACAGTAGTGGGGGATAACCGTAGTTGACAGTAGTGGGGGATAACCGTAGTTGACAGTAGTGGGGGGATAACCGTAGTTGACAGTAGTGGGGGATGACCGTAGTTGACAGTAGTGGGGGGGATGACCGTAGTTGACAGTAGGGGGGGATAACCGTAGTTGACAGTAGTGGGGGATGACCGTAGTTGACAGTAGTGGGGGGGATGACCGTAGTTGACAGTAGTGGGGGAATGACCGTAGTTTCATTTTTGGGCTAACCATGGCCAAATCATAGATTGCTTGAAGTTCAAACTACGTTTATAACCAAGTTGAACTACGTGTAACTACATTTAACTAAGGTCACCCCCTACTACGGTCAACTACGTGTGACCGTAAGATGTGACCACGACTTTAAGAAGACGAGTCTACAAGCAGAATTCATGCTCTTTGTTACAGGATTATTAAGACAAATGTTCATGCAACCACTATAAATGAGAAGTCAAAATGTGAATAAACCTAATGGAGGTCTAGTGTTTAGCTCACCTGCCCGATAAACAACTTCTTCTGAAGAACAGACAGGCGTAGAGCCATATTTTACTGAAAGCTTTGTTGGTAAGAGCCCGACCAAGTGCGAGAACGAAAATGACCTTGACCTCCTATAAAGGTCACAGGGGTCAAATACTTCAAAACGACTTTTTCTGAACTTAAAGGTATAGAATCTTAATATTTGGCTGGTGGCTTCCTGGGATAGAGCCTGACAAAGTTTGAGAATGAAGATAACCTTGACCTACTTTCAAGGTCACAGGTGTCAAATACATCAAACGACTTCTGAGTAATCGAAAGGCATAGAATTATGATATTTGGCTGGTGACTTCTTGGGATAGAGCTCACCAAAGTTTGTAAATGAAACCTACTTTAAAGGTCAGAGGTCAACAACATTTCAAAGGATTTGTTCTGAAGAACCAAAAGGAATGGATTCATAAGATTTGGCTGGTAGCTTCTTGGGATAGAGCCAGCAAAGTTTGAGAAGGAAAATGACCTTGACCTACTTGCAAGGTCACAGGGGAAAATATGTCCCACCAACTTCTGAAGAAGTACCAAAAAGCATAGAATCATATAATAATATTTGGCTGGTAGTTTCAACCAATGGAGGTGACAAAGTTTGTGAGTGAAACATTTGTACAATATAATATTTAATGAGAATATCTTGCTATGACTGCTTAAATATATTCAGTTGAACGATACAGGCCCTCTGGGCCTCTTGTTTTAGTCCACCATAAAACCATCCTTTCTTGTATTTGCTACTTGAGAACTGATATGTTATTTTTCAAATCCTCGCCGTCTCTGGTAGTTGTGCATGTTTTATTTTGAGACTGATCAGAATAAGGTGAATTATGAAAGTTTATTCCCTAAAAGCCTTAACAAAAATCAATGAAGATCTTATGCAGTAATATCCCACTAAAGTTATTTCATGGTCCTGGGCAACAGATCACTACTGAAGTAAATATTCAAAATACAAAACAAAATGCCAGTCTGTTTCACCCACAGGTTTTATTATAAGTTTACAAGTCGTGCTTCCAATACAGCACTTCTTGACATGTCAGGTTAATTATCTCTTAAACGTCGCGATTTGTCTGTACATAATATATACATATAACTACACTTGTGTCTCTTTCTCCTTCACACTCTATCACACGCTCTCTCACTCATAATTCATCATCATCATGCACAATGAACACTCCTCTCTTCCAAGCAACATGTTACACAGAACGGTAAAACAAATATATTGTATCGACAGAAAAACAAAAATACTTTTCTGATTTTCATATATATTTTAAATTTTGGAATTAAGTTGCTTGGTCAAGTATGGATTTCATTCCATTTTGAATTTTGAAATCAGTTTGCTTGCTCAAGTCCATTTTATACCAATATTCAATTCTAAATGGACTGTTTATCAATGATTCCGTTTCCATTCACTTACAAAACCAGTAACAATCAAGTCTACATAAGCTACAGTGACGGAGGAGGACACAGGCAGTTCTGACAGGTTACATAGTCTTAACTTCACAGGCAAAATAAATAAGGAAAGATTTGGGAGGAAATAACTGCACCACAAGTTGACTCGTATAAATATTTGATTACGCTTAGCTTTTTAGAAGTGCATTAAATCAAAACCTTTTAAAACAAATACACAGTTTCATAAGACACCATGGTCATATTACAACGGAACTATAAATGCAGTTTATTTGGATGCTCGCAAATACTCCCTAATTTTTATGACAAGTACAAACAATAACAGGGTACTGTCATGAACGGTTGTAATATTTAACATGGTCACAATGGTTGTATAAAAATAGTCTCTACACGTAACAGGTGTGTAAACACGAATACATCGCTGGGGCCTGGTGCCGTCCGTGTTCCTGAGAAGGGGGTGACTGACCGGACCGCGCAGCAGGCCCCACTGGTGAACTACGTAAAGCAGGGTGCTTTCATTTATTGCGTTCTGAACATGATTCGTTAGCGGGGACAGACCTAGTTTATAGGTCTAAAATGAATCCTACTAAGCCTTCAATAAAAATGTCACATTTTAACGTAACGAAAAAATGTTTTTCATGAATGAAAAAGCATCAAATTTATTTTTAGACCCCCCTTCCAACATTTTTGACACTTTAAATTACCTTACAAATCAAATAAATGCATGTTAAGCATTAACCCACTCGCCCCTAAAGTTGCAATTGACCTTTACCAAAGACTGGGTGAGTCAAGTTTGAAAATGTAGGGGTGAATGAATTAAAAGGAAAACAATATTTTACTTGCACACGATCAAATAGTCAACACTATTACCGACGATTCCTGGAATCTAGAACAACAACATTCTAATTTAAAACAAATCTTTTCACAGAAAGGAAAATTCTTGATACTTGTGTGGTAAAGTAGGCAGACATAAAGAATATCTCGCTAAACCGTGTTTGGTGTAAAATTTTACAAACAGAAGGTCATTTGTAACGTGATGTTACCGAGGTCAGCAGTCTGATCAACTCCACAGGCACACAAGAACAGTGGACAGACTGAAGAACGGTAGGTGGTCCCCGACGTCCACCCTCACGAGACTGAAGAACTAACGGTAGGTGGTCCCCGACGTCCACCCTCACGAGACTGAAGAACTAACGGTAGGTGGTCCCCGACGTCCACCCTCACGAGACTGAAGAAGTAACGGTAGGTGGTCCCTGACGCCCGACCTCATCAGACTGTAGAACCACCGGTAGGTGGGCCCCAAAGTCCAACCTCACGAGACTGTAGAGGTGGTTCCCCGACATCACCAGACTGTAGAACGAACGATAGGTGGTCCTAGATGTCCAACCTTACCAGAGCATCACCTAAAGTCTGTAACGTGACGAGACGGCACCAATATTAATTACACAATCCAATGCTTACAACCCCTAACTGTCTGTTCTAGATCAGGGCGGGTTAATCCATTTCTCGAATGACATGATAATGGAGATGTACATGATGAGATGAGAAATAAATAATGTTGGTGATGAGAGTAGGTTATCCCTCCTCACGGTCCGGAGGTTTCTCCTGGTATGTCACGCGATACTGGTTGTACTGGTAGTACGGAGTTGAGTCCGCCACAAACACTTTGTTACACACTGTTTCATTGGTTCTCATGTTCTCACCCCTCCCCATCATCCAATCATCACACTCCTTCTCCATGTCCACAGTCACATTTTGTGCCCGCCACTTGTCCACCCAGCTTGAGAATTTATCATGTAGTTTTAGTGAAACTCGCTTGTGAGACTGCAAGGTAAAGATTACTCTTGTTACAAATTATAACAGTATTTCTTCAATGGATAGGTCACTCTTGTAACAAATTACGACCAAATTTAAACTTCAATGGATAGAAACCTCTTGTAACAAATTACTACAGAATTTAAACTTCAGGGGAAAGCTAACTCTTGTAACAAATTATAACAGTATTTCTTCAATGGATAGGTAACTCTTGTTACAAATTATGACCGAATTTAAACTTCAATGGATAGAAACCTCTTGTAACAAATTACTACAGAATTTAAACTTCAGGGGAAAGGTAACTCTTGTAACAAATTACGACCAAATTTATACTTCAAGGGATAGGTAACTCTTATAACAAATTACTACAGAATTTAAACTTCAATGGATAGGAACCTCTTTTAACAAATTACTACAGAATTTAAACTTCAGGGGAAGGTAACTCTTATGACAAATTACGACCAAATTTATACTTCAAGGGAAAGGTCACTCTTGTAACAAATTACGACCGAATTTAAACTTCAAGGGAAAGGTAACTCTTGTTACAAATTACGACCGAATTTAAACTTCAAGGGAAAGGTAACTCTTGTTACAAATTACGACTGAATTTAAACTTCAAGGGAAAGGTAACTCTTGTAACAAATTACGACTGAATTTAAACTTCAAGGGATAGGTAACTCTTGTAACAAATTACTACAGAATTTAAACTTCAATGGAAAGGTAACTCTTGTTACAAATTACGACCAAATTTAAACTTCAATGGAAAGGTAACTCATGTAACAAATTACGACCAAATTTAAACTTCAAGGGAAAGGTTACTCTTGTAACAGATTATGACAGGATTTACACTGTAAGGGAAAGACAACCCTTAACAATTATGACAGAATTTACCTTGTAAGGGAAAGACAACTCTTGCAACAAATTATGACTGAATTCAGACTTTGGGAGAACATAACTCAGTTGCTATAATGTTAATTTGAAGTATTTCAAGAAATTCCGAGTCCCATAAAAATTCTTTGAGCATAGGATTTCGGGTTTTATCACTGTATATAAAGTAAAATCAATTGAACTCACCTCTTTGGCCTTCTTCAGTGCAGTGCGCTTGTAGAGGTAGTATTCACTGTTAACAACATACACAATTTTAAAGGAGTTGACATTAAATTTACACTCCGTATTATCAAGGATGTCCATATCATCGCTGGTTTCCTGTTTGGGCGACTCCCCAGGGTTAGAGGTCTCCTCTTGTTCGGCGTCGCTTTTCTGTTTCTGGTTCCGCTGATGAAGACGCCACTTCCGTACATTCCTACAACAGAAACAACGGCATCACAACTGCTTTCAGGATCTGAAACTTACATGTTGAAATATGGCTTTATTCTAAAATGGCGCAAAAAACTGAAGATTTAGGTTTTTTTTAATTTTTGATATTTTACTTAAAATTAACTCCAACAGGATACCAGTGTGAAGCATGAATACCCCCACCTGTCTTCTTTTTTAAAATATTAACCCTTGAATAAAAAGCACAGGAAATATATGAATGCTCAAGGAAAAATATCATGTTTCAAGACATGAATGTAGGTACTTACCTTGGTAAGAAGACTGCCTTTCTTTGCAGCTCCTCCTTTAGGTCCTCAGAAACAGTATCGTCGTTTGCCACATATTTTTCCACATACTCTGACCATCTCTCTACCTCCACCGGATCATCCGACTGTTCATGCTCCGTGTCCAGGAGCTCTAGTGTCAGACGACAATCCTTCTTGAACTGTAAGAATAATAATAGTGAAATTAGCAACAATAAAATATTAAAGAGATATTCCCTTTATTCACCCCTCCAGAGTATTTTCCCCCCCTTCATTTTCACACTTTTCAGGGTTACAGCTCACCTTTGGAACTTCGAAACTACAGCAGGATGTCAAAATTAGAAATATCATAACATGTGTAAGGAAGTTCCTGTGTATAGGAATGTACATATAGGATCACCAGTGTGAAAGCAGGTACATACCTGTACTTTATAGGATCATACATTTTCTGAATTGAGAATGTGGACTTGTAGTCACACTGTGTAATGAGTGAAGAGCTATCAGCCTAAGTGGGATCCTAACCCCAAGAGAATGCTGACTTACGATCATGAGTTTGAAGCAATTTTCGTCAGCCAGGATGTGGTCTGCCTTTTTCTGGTAAGCAGTTTCTTGGTTGGTGCGTTGGTGGACAGTAGCCACACGGCCACCTGTTGCTTTGTTCTTCTTCTCTTCCTCAAACATATCTGTCACCTTACAGCACACTTCGTCAGTCACAATATGTTGCATCTGTAGTGACAAGGATCAAGGTCAATTTAATTGGGAAAAGTTGTGTGGTGAAATATTAACCCAAGAAGTTCATTCAAGCTTATTATTTTCAAAAATTTACAGTCCTGGGTAATTTCAAATTAATGAGTAAAGTGTTTATATTGTGAACCACATCACCACTCAAAAGAGATAACTGTGGCCATCAAGGTTACGGCAAACCTCAGGGACTAAAAACTCCACTTAATACCGAGTCTTTGTCCTGGTTTAATAGGAATATCTACAAAGTTTCATTATTAATTTCGATATAGACAATCTCTTTAATATTCACAGCCACAGACATCAAGAAAGCTAATTGTTTGCAGCGAAAGTGATTAGCAATTAACAAATACTTTAAAGCTTCATGAAAAATTGAGATGCAACACACAAACACGTATACATAGTCGACTTGCTTGCCTGCCTGTCGAACCAAGTTGTAACATAAGATTAGTCAGGTAGATAAGTGGACTCACCTGTCGGACCAAGTTCTGGACAAGTTTGTCCATGGTAAACGCTATGTAGGCGTGGATGCCGTACATCTCTCGGAGCTGATCCTCATACTGGTTGGGTTCCATGTTTCCGTCCAGTAGACTTTTGATCATCTCTAAGAAGTAAGGGTAGTACTCCTCTGGCTCTACCTCACCTGTCAAAAGTCATGTACTTGTTAAACATTCTGTATTCTCTTATCAGCACTTTAATACTGAAAGATTCAGTATCCCCTACTCTCTGACCAGAATCTCCAACTACAGAGTTTTCAGTTAAGTCGTTCATGATTTCAAACCAGTATCTCCCCGTTAAAAGCAACAGATATTTATTTACAGCTGCTCTGTCTTAATCAGCACTTACAAACTTTTTAATTTCAAGCCCGCTCTGACCACTTAAGGTCAAAAATTAAGGATTCAGTGTTTGATGGGAGGTAATTCTTACAACTTGAGTGACTCGCAACAACAAAATGGAGGATTTCACAATGTATTCCTTTAAAAGGATTATAAATCGATCATCAGTTGGTTTCAGATAAATAATAATCAATCATACAATCTTTAAATGATTCCTAAACTACCCTGCTCTCAGTTATAGACTGTACTTACTTGGAGCCTTCAGCCGAAGCGCGATGGCTGTCGACTCCTTCCTCTCCTGCCGACACATGGCTTCCTCTGCCGCGATTCGCATCGACAGGCTGTAAATCTTGTAAAGACGTTCACACAGAATCTCATGCAGCCGGAAGAACAGGTACCAATTGTTATTGATGAAATACAATGAATATACATCGTCCTGAAATAGAAAATCATAACAGTATAATATAATGTTGTTTCAATTCGGCTATTTAACTATCTTAATAAAAAAAATTAAAAAATTACTATTTCATAACCTACAAGTACTCTGATCGATCAGTTAACTAGCTAGGTTAGGTTATGTCACAAGCTATGCCTGAAATCTAGTAGTGTTGGACTTCAGTAGTGTGAGGCCCCTTACATATCTGGTTCGTCTGTTTTCAAATTAACATTTTTGTGTATAAATCCTGGTGGACCTGCAAATGTTTATGCAGGCCTTGCAAAGCTTTGTCAAGGCTCGCCTGAAAGCAGCATCAGATAAATAGGTTCGGACTTATTCCATAAACAAACAACTGTGGTCCAACCGGTTAAACCGTTTGGATCGCGATAAACGAATGTGGCCCGAGTGGCAAAACCCTGCCAATATACCTTCCTGATCAATAACACTTACATCATCCAGGTCATGATCACTGTCGCTGAGAGCGCCGTTAAGGATTGGAGATCCAGGTGACTCCTCCATCTTGACCTCCCCTTCCTCCTCCTTCACAGTGGGGGGCTCCATAGGGGGGTCTGAGGGGGCGGGCGGGGGAGGAGGGTTAGGGGATGGCACTTTTTCCTCTTTAACAACCTCTTTCTCAACATCATCTGTATCCATCTCTATTTTACAGAATAAAAGTCAGGGTATGAAACTTTATTGTTTACAATTTACTAATATCGGAAAATATAACAATAAACTGGATTTTTGTTTATACAGAATAAGGGGCAATGTTGTCTTGTGCCCTGCTACATTGGGAGGTAAAATAATTTGATTGATGAACTTGATTCAGCATCAAGAATACTACACTGAAGTTTTGTCCAGACAATACACAATGGGTCTCTCCAGTGTTACCCAGTATACTTGATTACAGCACGGAAGGAGATCAATGGTCAAACTAACAAATTCTATATATCACTGGTCAAAAGAATTTCTAAACAGACAAATATTAGTACGACACAAATAAATTATTATCAATACTAATATCTATGTCTTTATGTGGACCTGGACCAGATTCACCCAACATACAGTTCAGAAATTAAATTAACAATTCTCACCATCATCTTTATCCATTTCGTCATCACTTAGTTCTGCACGCGGTGTGAAGAATAAGTCTGGGATAAACTGCTTTAATAACACTTTAATTTTCTGTTTATCGTCTTTGTGTATTGCTGCAAAACGAAACATAAAACTGGTTAACAAATCTAATATCACATATATGTACAAGTTGATATTTCATGCGAGATTAACGAACAAGTTAAAAAGAAATCTGGTAATCATAATAAGAAATAAAAAAGAATTCAAAAACTGTAATAACATCACTTCAATACAACATTAGACATCTTGTGCTATACTTTAGGGACATTTTTGCTTAACAAGATTCTTGTTTCATTAGTTCCATATTAATTATTAAATGAACTAGACTTGTAATACTGCAACTGTTTGAATTATAATAACAAATTAAGTTTTTTCAAATAGTGGCTTTTTACTTGAATTGGTAAAGGGGAAAGTGTGGACTGACTAATTTTTAACCCATCTGACATTTCTTGTGGTGTAGGTTGCGAGTTTTTTTGTATGTTTGGGGTTTAACATCTACGCAACAGCCAGGGTCATATGAGGACAGGTGCCTAGTGAGATGGGATACAGTTGGACATAGCAGGCACATTCCTTCCCCGTACCTGCATGGGTTTGTAGGTTGACAGGCTAGAAGAGGGAGTCTCACCTGTCTGACATTTCCTGTAGGTCGAGACTTACCTGTTTGACGTTTCATGTGATGGATGATGAGTGAGGCTGCGTCGTCTACAGTTGACTTGTCTTTGTAGTTGAAGGACAGGTGAGGGGTACCCTGGTCAGGACCATTCTCCTGGAACTGTTCCTGACGCTACAAACAGACAGTTTACACAAATTGAGTCACAGTATAAAATACAGGGGTTATTCTGAAACTTAATACACCTGGCCAATTTTCTAGCAAAAAAGTTTTTCTCTCTCTTCAGAACTGTCAGTACATTATCAAAATAAACAGCATAGTTCAAACATAAATAAAATATGGATCTCGGCAACTCTATTCAAAACATTTACCACACAACATCGCAATGTATGCTTTAATATTAAACTGTAATTCTGACCTTGAACAATACGGGTGGTTATTGTATGATAATTTGATGGTCAACAGTTCATCTCATTCAACATATTTTGTCACAAGGATACATCCACAACAATACAACTACTATTGAAGACATCATAATTACTTATTGTTAACCATCGCTTATCTGCCCCTGGCCAAATCTCATTGTCCATTACATAACAATATAAAAACCTCCCTTAGAGGCGTCTAAAACATTGTAAAATTGTCCTACACATTGTAAAATTGTCCTGACGAAGCCCCACCTTTACAGGCAAAACTAGTCAGCCAAATCAACTGATCACTTTCCCACTACCTCATCACAGAATGTCTCCATTTCATTTCCCCTAATTGTCACTTTCCCACAGAATGACCACCTACCTCATCATAGATCGTCTCTATTTCATTGAGGAGTGCCTTGGACCTGAGAGACTTGATGTCATTTTGTTTAAAATTGATGCCTTGATGATCAAGAGACTTAAGGTAATATTTTTCGTTCTGTTCTCGCCACACTTTGTTAAAATTTCGCTGTGCTTCCCGCCATTCTTCTTCTTTGGCTTTTAACCTGTTGAGAAAAACATTTAATCTTTAGGATTCTTCAATACTGACCATACCCCTCATGGTCTATTTTTGATAATGGCGACCTTGACCTAAGAATGTTTTTAAACTACTGCACATTTCAAAAAGAGAAGTATTTTGGATTCTGAGATAATCTCTGAAAACTGAAGCGCTGACAGGCATATGGATGGACACAGTGATTACTATAGGGCACCTGCATCAGCTTTAGAAACGGCAATCCTTCAGACCATTTTTTTCATTGTAAAGTTTAAGTAATTTCACTTCTGATCACAATTCTTCAGTGTCAACAAAACAGCCATATTAACTTACAAGCTGCAGGACTTTGAATCGGCCAAATTTTCTCATATTTTTTTTAACCTTTGAATCTGACATAATATTAGCATCTGGACAGTAAGAATGTTTCTATCAATTATTCACATTTATTTTTTCTGTACTTAAAAAATAGCATCAGGAAAGTAACATTTTTCCAAAATAAAACATTTTTCTCCAACACATACTTTATTTTCTGGATTTATGATTGAAGGATATTTAACATTGCATCAACTGGCTTTTTAAGCATGTGGACTTTTCACCTTTTCACTGGAATTTATAAAAGTTACTTACCGTCGTAAAACTAAAGGAACAGCAACTACAGGATTTTTCTTCAGACCATCTATAATATCTGGAGCCTTGTCACCATATATCCTGTGGAATAAAACGTTACAACCTCAACTGACGAGTATGCAACCTAACAAGATTCTGTTATTAAAAGGTTTCAGGCTAACTTTCACTGGTTTGTAAACAACCAAACAAGTTTCTGTTGAAGAAATTATTCAAACTATTTCAAAATAGGGAAATGTGGAATTCCTTTGGTGATTTCATCAAACAGGTTTGCAAGTTTCAGCTCAAATTTCTCTGTTATGTATACAGTCCACCAAATTTCTGTTGAAAAAAATTATCAAACAGGATTTTGCGAGTTTCAGGTTTAACTCTTAACAACAGTTATATGAGGACTGTGTCCACTCGATAGCTCAGCTGGTGAATGGTAGTGTCGGTCTAGAATTCCCGTTGCAGTGAGACATTGTTATGTTTAGAACAACAATGTAAGGGACATACCGTTGTATAGATTTACGGTGAAGAACCTCGGACGATCCCCCTAATGAGTTGTCCAGACGGAACTTTGCTGCCTCCTCTGATGACATTCGAGACATTTTCTTTTGGACCGCCTCGAGGATCCGTATTGTGTTCAGATTCGACTCCACCACGATATCCAACTAAAATGACAACATTCACATACATTTTATTTACCGTTAAAAATTAGTAATACTGAAATTATATAACAATCAGTAATACCATCATGTTTTGCACTGGATGCAAAATATAGCTGGCCTTTTTTTTTTATAAATCCTAACACAAATTAAGAATTGTAAGTCCTTTTCCATTTCAGAGACTTGTTTTTATTTGAACATCCTCATGTTATTAAGTCCAGATGACAACTGTTCACAGATGAGGCCACTTAAATGCCATTTTAAAGTGAAAACATACTGAAATGTAATAGAAAGGTCACATGGTCATTTTGCGAAAACTACTTTTCTGGAATTGACGGAACCTCTTAAGACATATTCTGAAAATGACATGCAACAGGAACAAATATTGTAATATTGTATTGTATTAAAGTATCTTTACCTCTTATCTCCCAGCTCCACTTCAACAAACATTTACAACAAAGAGACATTCTCCAAGTATCCTTACCTCAAATCTCTCATCCTCACATCGGTAGATGTGCTCTTCATACTGAGTTTTCCGTGATGTCACAAATGTGGAGTCCTCAGACCACGACGGAAAAGATACCCACGTATCATTTAATACCTACAAAGACAAGTTGTTTATTATTAAGGTAACAACAAACCAGATTTCCCCCCTTGGTGGAGTGAAGTTTTATTGTCCTTGTATTAGAGAAACAAAGCATCCCCCCAAAAAATTGTATCACCCTAGGCCTTCTAAGTAACAGAAAAAGTCATTTAAAGGTTTTCAACATATCTGATCCCTATGACCTATGGTCTTTCATTTCAATACCCATGAGAGCCCTTTAGAATATTTTTTATATGATGTAATTTATACAATAAAATCATACAAACTGTTTTATATATTTAAGTACAATTATAACTTCTATTCAATACAAATGACACTTAGAATGTAAATATCAGAATTGAACAGCATTTTTTCAATGTTCATGCTGGTATGTTTACCATGAAGCCTGCAAATGCCATTCAATCCTTATACCAACTTTGTATTGAATATGAATAATAATGATGTTGTACTTGACAGCGACATAGAAGCATCAAATCAACATAACGATTTGAATAAAAGACCATTGTGACCTACCTCTCGACAGAGAGCAGTGCGGCCTGTACACTTGGGTTGGAGATAGGACTTTGGCAGTGCTCTGTAGGAGGCACCATACCGTTTACACGTAGCATAGTCTACAAACACAGGAAAATAATATCAGTATTATTAGTTTACACATAGCATAGACTACAAACACAGGAAATTCATATCAGTATTATTCGTTGACACGTAGCATAGTCTACAAACACAGGAAATTAATATCAGTATTATTCGTTTACACATAGCATAGTCTACAAACACAGGAAATTGATATCAGTATAATTCGTTTACACATAGCATAGTCTACAAACACAGGAAATTGATATCAGTATTATTCAAACTCCTTTTCAATAATTAAGACACAGACAGGACGCTTAACAACCAACTGCGAGTAAAGTATCCTGATACAGAATAGGTCAAAGGTTACCAATTACTGTGGTCAGAGGTCAAATAAAGATCACGGATACACCTCCGTAACAAATGGGCTTACTTTAGAAGAAATAGTACAGGAGATACCGGACATTCCAGGGATGAAATTCATTTTGATGTTATGTCTACTATCATCAACCGAAACAAGTCTTATATACGGACACTTTTGAAACTCACCTAACCAACATTTTTAGCTTTCACTATACTAATTGCTATTTTCCCCAAAATAACGTATCTGACCTATATAATCACTGTTCAACACCAATTTACCTATTTCCATTGCCAGGTCCCCAGAAATCCTCTTTTCCGCTGTGGCTCCTGAGGGAACTGCCTCAATTGTGCCACCAGATTCCTTGTAGCCAAGGAAATCCTTAAACCACTTATAAAGCTCGGGATATTTTCTGTTAAAATACAATAAATTTATTATGAATTGATCCTTTTCATCCTCATTACTTAAGATTCTGTTTGAAAAACATTAAATTGCATTATATAGTTTTGCTGGTTTCAATAATTCAAAAAGATCACAAATTTAACGTAAGTATTCTATATCATGAAGGATAAAACAAAACCTAAGCATGTGTATATTTGAATATTTATTCAAAGGTTATTTTTTTTTCTTGTTTTGAATTCTTAACATATTTATTTTACACAATCATCATCCAATCTTTTATCTTTATACAAATTTATTTACTGTAATCATGATTCTGTTAGAAATAGGTCCCATTTATTTCAATTTTGTTGCATAATTTACACATTTTTTTTAAACTAGCAATCTAAAATATTCTTAACTCATTCACCCCTGAAATTTCATAATGAACTATTCCAGCCTTTGAATTGGAAGAGTTCAAGTGTGTCTTCAGGGGTGTATGAGTTAATGTTAGTTGAAAAAGTGCATGAAACATAAAATATGAATAAACCATCACTGGTGAAAAACGGGAACTTACATGAGGAAGGTTTGCACTAGCTGAACAAGTTCTGAACGAGAAATCACCTCTTGATTAAATAGCACTAAACAACGCAGAAAGTTTTCGTACACTTCCTGGTGCCGTAAGGCTCTGCGAACCTGTAACAAGCAAATAATGATGGTATTTCACATTTTGCAATACGCAGTTATTTCTCATCACATCTCAGTGAATATTCATGTAAATTATGAACTTTAACTAAAATGATTGATGGTTTCTGACTTTGCATCAGCTAAGGCCATATAATCGTAGAGGTAGACGTAAAACCCAAATCAATCAGCAAAATCAACATATCACATCTAAACACCATAAGGACATCCATTTCTTTCAAAATCATAAAATATTTTTTTAATATAGGATTTAATTTGAAGTTTTACTTGCACAATAAGTTCTTAACAATGTAAAAATGTTTTCCAGAGAGAAAATATGTCCTTTTATATGAAAGTTTGTCGTGTGGGATAGGCAAACTTTGGCAAAGTCTTGCGTAAATAGTTACTGATACTGAATAATTCTGTAATTAACCGAATCATAGAGATCTGTACCCAGATTTTTTTTTTTTAAATTTGTTAGAACCCTTTTGATTGCCATTTTATTTTTTTCACCAACATGATAAATGCTTTATTTGTTGCGTACCTTGTCAAAGAAAGCAAACTCATTTAGAGTTCCATATCTGCCTGCCTCAGCTAGAGATATATCCTTCAGCGTACCTGTCTTGGCCTTCTGTCAAAAAACATTTAGAGATATTCTTCAGTTTATCAGTTCCAGCCTTCTTGTATAAAAGTTACGCAACTACAAGAGCATTTTTCAAAACTTCAAATTCTTTTGTATTAGTATCCCTCAATATTTTTTGGGGGAAAATACAAACATACATGTTTACATTAGGAAAACTATAGTTTATTTCTCAATGGAAAATAATAATGATCGAAGAATCCTAAGAAATTCAAACGAGTCTTGCGTGTTATTTTATGGGCTATTCCATAATTAAGTGTATGGGGAGGTAGCAGGCACCTGTATTAATATATTATGGGTGGTGGGGTTAAAACCAGATCTGCCTACTTCTCCGTAATAAATCACTTGATATTTCATGGGTGGTGGGGGTCTCTGAAAACTTACCTCCCACCCCTTCCCTATGATTAATTCTGGAACAGCCCTAATAGTGAGATAGTTTTCTAGCTCACCTTGGCTGGGTGCTGCCCTAATAGTGAGATAGTTTTCTAGCACACCTTGGCTGGGGGCTGCCCTAATAGGGAGGTAGGTTTCTAGCTCACCTTGGCTGGGGGCTGGCCTAAGAGTGAGATAGTTTTCTAGCTCACCTTGTCTGGGGGCTGCCCTAATAGTGAGATAGTTTTCTAGCACACCTTGGCTGGGGGCTGCCCTAATAGTTAGATAGTTTTCTAGCTCACCTTGGCTGGCGGCTGCCCTAATAGTGAGATAGTTTTCTCGCTCACCTTGGCTGGGGGCTGACCTAATAGTGAGATAGTTTTCTAGCTCGCCTTGGCTGGGGGCTGCCCTAATAGTGAGATAGTTTTCAAGCTCACCTTGGCTGGGGGCTGCCCTAATAGTGAGATAGTTTTCTAGCTTACCTTGGCTGGGGGCTGCCCTAATAGTGAGATATTTTTCTAGCTCACCTTGGCTGGGGGCTTCCCTAATAGTGAGATAGTTTTCTAGCTTACCTTGGCTGGGGGCTGCCCTAATAGTGAGATAGTTTTCTAGCTTACCTTGGCTGGGGGCTGCCCTAATAGTTAGATAGTTTTCTAGCTCACCTTGGCTGGGGGCTGGCCTAATAGTGAGATAGTTTTCTAGCTCTCCTTGGCTGGGGGCTGCCCTAATAGTGAGATATTTTTCTAGCTCACCTTGGCTGGGGGCTTCCCTAATAGTGAGATAGTTTTCTAGCTTACCTTGGCTGGGGGCTGCCCTAATAGTGAGATAGTTTTCTAGCTCCCCTTGGCTGGGGGCTGCCCTAATAGTGAGATAGATTTCTAGCTCACCTTGGCTGGGGGCTGGCCTAAGAGTGAGATAGTTTTCTAGCTCACCTTGTCTGGGGGCTGCCCTAATAGTGAGATAGGTTTCTAGCTCACCTTGGCTGGGGGCTGGCCTAAGAGTGAGATAGTTTTCTAGCTCACCTTGTCTGGGGGCTGCCCTAATAGTGAGATAGATTTCTAGCTCACCTTGGCTGGGGGCTGGCCTAAGAGTGAGATAGTTTTCTAGCTCACCTTGTCTGGGGGCTGCCCTAATAGTGAGATAGTTTTCTAGCACACCTTGGCTGGGGTTTGCTCTAATAGTGAGATAGTTTTCTAGCTCACCTTGGCTGGGGGCTGTTGACTGCTGGACGGCCGGCGGTGAGAGCTGTTGGATTTGTTCTGGCTCTTGCTTCCCATGCCTGGTTTCTTCACGGTGGACGAGTGGTCATTTCTCACTCCCAGGGCCGAGTCTCCTTGCAGCATATTAAGCTGTAAAACAAGTTCTACCTGTTTTAACTCTCAAAATTATTACATAAGTTTTAATTTCTGAAGATGTACTCCTTGAATGAAAGAAAATGAAGAACCTTAAGAAGTACAAGTTACAGATATAGATAAGTCCAAATACTGAAATAATTTGATGATGCCATGCTTCTTGTTACAAAGGGTTTAGATTTGTGCATGTATGCACAATGATAATGCACACTGCTCGTTGAAAACTTAAAATATAAGCAGAAAAAAAGAAGAAGCAAAATTTGCCTACACTCCCTTCTTACCCAGTCCCTTGTTTATTTTAATACAAAATAATAACGTTTTCTTGCCAACTCATCCAAACTTTTGAAGGGCCTAAATACGGAACACCATTAATTTGTTCAGTTTTATTTTATAGCAGGGTTATCAGTACTTTTTCAGCAAAAATAGATATGTGCCATATAAATCAATTTAAAAAAAAGAAAAGCGCCAACACATACATAACTTACATAGCCAGGGTAGGAAGACCCATTAGCGTCTGGCAGGAATTGGCCAAATTCCGCCAGCAAATCCTCCTGGTTTTGGAAAAGCTTGGCAACTTGTGAATACACTTCTGCTTCAGTGAGAGGTTTGTAACCAGTAGGTACCAATCCCTGAAAAATTTCAATAAAACAGTGTTTCATGATAGAACTTTGTGAGAAAAATAACATTGTATAAAATGCAAGCTTTACAATAGAATATCAGACTTTTCTTACTTGTATATCTTGATATTACAAAGCAAGACAAAATCTAATTTTCGAAAGTAACTGTTGGTTGCAGAAATGGTTCCATGGCAATCCCTAAACCCTCTGGCACAAGATTCAAAATCACTCTCAAATTTCATGTTATTAAACATGATGAAGTCGTAGATCAAATTAAAATTGACACAGCATGAAGGAACTTTATAAACTTAACTCATTCACCCCTGAAGACACATTTGAACTCTTCCAATTCAAAGGTTGGAATAGTTCATTATGAAATTCAGGGTTGAAAGCGTTTAGAGACCGTTGAATGTTTCTCGATACACACATCTTCTTTCAACCTTGGAATAATTCATGACAAAGTGTTTTTTTCCCCCCAATGAAGATGTTAGATTGTTTTGAATTTTCTCACAAAACAGAGATTTACAGTATTTATACTGACATGAACAATGAACCATTCCTAAAACCTGAAGATGTGCCAAAGAAGAGGATGACACTGGAGTTGGACTGTTACAGTATTTATACTGACATGAACAATGAACCATTCCTAAAACATGAAGCAGTGCCACAGAAGAGGATGACACTGGAGTTGGACTGTTACAGTATTTATACTGACATGAACAATGAACCATTCCTAAAACCTGAAGCAGTGCCACAGAGGAGGATGACACTGGAGTTGGACTGTAATAGTACCAACCTCTTTAAGATTTCTTTGTTCCTTTTGGTACGTGTGCAGTATCTCCAGGAACGCTTTGTAGATTTCTGGTTGTCCTTGAAATCGATTCTGAAAAAACAATAACATTCTATGTATTGATGTCCCTTTCTTGTGCTTAGTTATCAAAATAATGATTATTTTCTTGTGTTTCAGTTATTGAGAAAATGCAGAATCAATTTGGAGCCATCAGGCATTGTTTGACATCACTAGATTTTATTGAAATAACTGACTGTGTAGCTTAACTTGACAAGACTTAACATACTGAAAGCTGGTGAATGTTTGTCACAGTTAAAGTCCCCCCTTTGTAATGATACTAAATACGTCATGATGACTAAGCATACTTTCCAATATTAAGGAACAAAACGTTCAACTCGTGAATAAAATTGATCTATAATGGATAAATATTTCATCGAATGTTTACTGGTTGAATGCAAAATTGATCTATTAATGATAAATATTTCATTCATTATGTTGTCGTATAATACCAAGTAGTTCTGACATGGTTGAACAAATGGTGTAGGGTTGAACACGCGTACTTACCTTAATTTTATTGACGTAATTAATGGCATGGTTGAACTCGACAGGCTGCCCTGCCTGCTGCTGCTGCTGCTGTTGGGGTGGTGGTTGTGGAGGGGGCTGGCTGATCTGGGCCGGGGGCGGGGCAGTGGGCGGTTCCTGACTGCGGTGGGGAGACTGGTGGTAGGAGTGATGAGAGGAAGAGGAGGAACTGTGTGTTGGTGTGCTTGGCATGTGGGCTGGTGGTGGCGGCGGCGGCGGCTTCTGTAACATTAATAACCACATGGTTATATTTTACTTTGTATAATAACAATCAATATGTATTGAGACTGGTGTTAAGAGGATATGAAATCATGTACCAGAAATCTATCATTAAAAGGGGATTTCCTTGATATTCTGAGATTTTTGTATTCCTTGAATTTAAAAGGAAAATCTGGAAGGGTCCTTTATCTAAGTTTTTGTCAATTATTTAGTGCATATTAATAACTAAGCACTAAAATCTTGATATCAAATCAGTAGATTTTCTTGAATTAAATCCATTTTTTTTAAATTTGCAAACTGGAAAATTATCACAATCATTTTATTTGAAGATAAAACATTTCTACATATTCAAATAATAATGGGTGTTTGACTTTTTCACCCCTATATAATTTTAGTAGACTCAGCCATGCATTCATCTGGATGAGTCCATTATGGTCTACAGTGGTGAAAGGATTAAGGTCATTAAATGAGACAGGAAATGTATCTCTGGTAGTCATTACAAAACATAAGCTACTGTATGTAATACAAAATGCTCCACTCGACTGTTACATGTAGACTTCCTGATCTTCTAGATGTGTTTTATGCGAAAACCTAGTTCAAGCTGTTGAGTACAAATTTTGTAACTTAGAAAATGTCATACTTCTAAAGCACACAATTTTCTGAATTCTAGAAGAAATCAATATATTTTCCAAAATCTAAGATATATCATCTTGACAAAAACTATAGAGACTACTTGTCCACACCAGATCTACTGCTTGGTGAATGTGGTATCAAATCTTGTAGTAAGCCTATTTTAGTGAGGTTCAAATGGGATTTTATTCCCCCAGCATCTTTAGGAGGGATGCCAGGGTTGGGGTGCCCCGGGTTCATCACTCTTACATAATATAACCTCATGCAGGAGGCCTCTTTCCCTTCATTCTCTTTCTTTTTCATTTCTTCTCTCAAACTCAAAATCATTCATTCTTTCATTCTCATTCATTATAATAATAATATTTAATTTAATCAAAATGATATAAAGTAAGCCTATTTTAAGTCTTTGCTGCCAGTTTTTCGTGTACTAACCGGGATCTGTGGTATGATGGGTGCCGACGTCGGGATGAGTACGGTGGCCTGACCTGGCTGGTGAACACTGATCTCGTTGGCCTGAACTTCAATCTTGTAGCCTGGGGGCAGGAATGTGTTGAAGCCCACGATAAGTTCAGGGTGGCCCTTGAACAGGTTAGACACACGGTTGATCACGCCTGGTGTGTCGATTCTGAAAAATGTCAAAATCAGCAGAATTAAAATCTGTGAATTTACAGCATCAAACAGGCAAAATTGTAGACGGGATGTAACAAGCCGACAACAGAAAAGTGATTTAAGTTTTTTTGCATGAGAAATTATCCTGAGTCAAAGTCAGGAATTTATAGCACCACACGTGGATGTGTATGATGTCTTTCGACAACCAAAGGGCATTAACTTTGCATATAAATAACACAATCAAATTCACAACTAAAAAGATGTGTTGAAACAAAGCCCACCAAGTTTTAAGAAGATAATTCGAAGACTGGGATATATCTCGGGATGTTACAAAGCTTTGAAGAAACTAGGTTCTAATATAAACTTTTTGGGAAACATGTCATGTACATGAAAATTATACTCTGATCAACACATTGCAACCTGTATCACCAGTTAACTATTGTGGACGGCAACTGAACTTTCAATAAATATTCTTCTTCTTCATACGACAGTCTCAAGTTCAGTCTGAAGTACTTGAACCAACACTAAACGGACTGAACAAGATTAAACATCTCAAATATGACACAAACTTGTCTGTGGGTATGAAATAGCTGTGTACATGTCCCCAGTATGACAGCTGTACAAGGTACAGTACAACTTATCCGGTGGAACACATATCTCTGTATGCCTGTACAACCATCCCCTATCTATATACAGAGATAGGCAAATTGTGTGCAGGCCAGCAAAATCATTTACTTATATAGATTTTTTTATAATTAGATATAGAAGAAAACCAGACACAAATAGAAACTTTTTTTTGATGATCTCAGTATTTTCGTGTTCCAGGGCCCATATTCATGAAACCGTTCTCATGCTGAAGCATGGATTTTGTGCTCAAGCCTAATTTCCTGTTCTTGTTATAACTTAATAAATAGATCTTGTTTTGTCAATGATTTGGAAACATTTTGAAGAGACTTGATGACAAATACTGTTTTCAATGTTTACATTTGACTTTTTGATCGTTTGACATGATTTTAGGTGTGCTCAAACCAACTTTCTTGTAAGAAAGTTGGTTTGAGCACAGAATCCATGCTTCAGCATGAGAACGGTTTCATGATCAGCCCTCATCTGGGACATTAAAACTTCAACTACAAATAGATTATTTCTAAAAGATCACAGTATTTAATGTTCCTGGTCTTAAAGACAACCACATGAATGTGTATGATGTCTTTGGATGCAGAAAGGTCATAAACTTTGCATATAAATATCACAATCAAATTCACAACTAAATCGATGTTTTGAAACAAAGCCCACCAAGTTTGAAGATATGTTGAAATACAATGCTTTTACGGAATGTCAACGTTTTGAGGCAAACAGTTTTAGAAATGAAAATTCTACACTGATCAACACATTGCAAACTGTATCACCAGTTAACTATTGTGGACTGCAGCTGAACTTTTAATAAAAAAAATATCCATATGACCATCTCGAGTCGAGTCTGCAATTACTTGAGCATACAATAAAAAGGCATGAATTAAGATAAAACATCTAACACAAACTTGTCTGTGCCTATGAAATAGCTGTGTACATGTCCCCAGTATGACAGCTGTACAAGGTACAGTACAACTTATCCGGTGGAACACATATCTCTGTATGCCTGTACAATCATCCCCTATCTATATACAGAGATAGGCAAGTTGTGTGCAGGCCAGCAAAATTACTTGCCTAATGTATTAAAACTAGTCACAAATTGATTTTTTTTAATGATGCTCAGTATTTTCATGTTCCTGGTCTTGAGAAAAACCAGTCTCACCTGGGACATTTAAACTATAATTTCATATTTTCCCCCCAAAATCACAGTATTTAATGTTCCTGGTCTTCAGGAAAAACAGCCATTTTGATGGCAAACTGTTTAAGGTCATCACAAAATATTTTAAACTTGCAAATAAAAATAATAACTTGGTCATGATGGACGTACATGCTACAGAATACCAAACTTTTTACACAAGTAAAATGATGCTTTTGTTTTCCATGTAATTAATTCACTGCTTTAGTTCTGAAAACAACAATTTATAAACAAGTTTGAGTTTGCCACTTCGGTGTGACTTTGACCAAATATTCGAGACTTCTTCAGTGATCAATCTACATTTTATTTTCATGGGACCTTTTTAACTGAATTATTGCTAAAGGCAATAAAGTTTCCAGAAATTATATGATTCCCATCAAAATACTACGAGTATAAAACTCGGGACTTGCTTGTAGATTGATCACTTTTCCACTCAGAAGCTTTTGGCGAATAGACTTGCGTTTGAGACTTGAATTCCTTCATTATAGACTTGCGTTTGAGACTTGAATTCCTTCATTATAGACTTACGTTTGAGACTTGAATTCCTTCATTATGTCGAGAAAGTCGTTGTAGACCTGGGGCTGGTTACCAAACTGAAGTTTGACCTGGTCTAAGTAAGACAGTGCATCCTCTACTTTGAGGCGCTGGAACTGCTGCTGCTGTTGTTGGCCCTGACTGACCGCCGCCTGGTGAACATTAGTGATTCAGACAGGTATTGTTTTACATACGTTGTTCTGACAACTGACTACTAAAGATTTACGACAATATCTTCCCCTGTCTAGTGTTGATTTTTTTGGTAAATACTAAAGCTGCAACGTAATTTCCTGATAATTTTAATATTTCAGATTTTTCACTTTTTTTTAATTTAGTTTACTAATATTCGTTCCCACAAAATTGTTTGAAACTTTGAAGTCATGCAGATTTTGGACAGAGCCTATTTCTTGTAATATTGCCATTAAAAGTTTGCAACAAATCTTTTCACTTTGCTTCTACCATATATATCGTGATACGTATTGTATCGTCATATGAATTTAACGTCGCAGCCTTAGTAAATAGTAGGCTTGGTGATAATATTAATGTGAGGGATATAGATAAGTACTTGTATAAAAAAAATCTTCAAAAACTATCCTACTAAGAAAACTTAATTACTTTCCTGATGAGGAAAAGACAATGGTGTAAGATAACATGATACATTATGGGTAGTAAGATAACATGATACATTATCTACCCAATTTTCAATTGTGACCCAAGTTTATTTCGTATCAATTTAATGGTAAATAAATTCATAACCGTGTCATATCTTTTTATATACTTGCTTTCAATAGAGAGTTTTAATCCCAAAATTAAGATTTGACTCTTCGGGTTTGAAAGGACATGACTTATACAACTGTACATATTCTTGTCGAAACTTCAATTAATTAATAACATTGAGAAATGTCAGGATTCATAACTAAATTGGGCTCTAAAAATTCAAAGTAATAGGTTTAAAATAAATTATCAAATATGAAATTTGAATTTCCCCAAAACCAACCCTTGTGAAGATTTCCCTAAATACCCTGGTAAAACCACTGATATATTCATGGGTATTAAACGGAACAAAACTTGAATCACAACAATTGTAGATTTTTTAAAACTGTATCTGAATTTGAAAAATAACGCCATTACAGTTGAACACTTACCAAGTCGAGCTTCATATCAGAGGCAATGATGGCGTGATGTCTGTCCACCTACAGGGAAAAGCCATTCAAAAATCAGAACAAACGACAAACCAAACCATAGTATGTGCCATATGACAATCTTAAGCCTAGTCTGAACATACTTGAGCATACAATAGAAAGGCATAAATAAGATAAAACATCAAACACAAACTTGTCTGTGGGTATGAAATAGCTGTGTACATGTCCCCAGTATGACAGCTGTACAAGGTACAGTACAACTTATCCGGTGGAACACATATCTCTGTATGCCTGTACAACCATCCCCTATCTATATACAGAGATAGTCAAATTGTGTGCAGGCCAGCAAAATCATTTACTTATATAGATTTTTTAATAATTAGAAATAAGAAGAAAACATTGCTGATGTATTAAAACTACAATCACAAATTGAAAATGGATATTAAAAAAAAAAATGTGTTTTCATGTTTCTGGTCAGAAAGAAAACCAACCCTCACCTGGGGCATTAAAACTACAATTACAAATTGAACTTTTTCTTTAAGATCACAGTATTTTCCACATAATGTCAAAATGCGAATGAAAGAAAACAAAGATAATTTTGTTATTTTTTGTTTTCATCTTGTTTCAATTTCTTGTTCCCAGACCATCGAAACCAGTTACACAGAGCGATGTCGTAGGAATATAATTGAAGTCTTATCCAGCAAAGTTTTCTTGGATATTTTGGGGAAAACTTACAGCATCTAAAAAGATATCTTTTGCAAATATTAGTAAGATGTTAACAGAGAACAACCATCACATGTTTGGTGAGCTTGGCAGAAATCATCTTCTAGGCCGAGGGCAATGGAGTTTAGTATTGAACGGTACTTGAATAGTCTTGTGCCTAATTATAACAGTGATTGTGAAACACCAATAAAATGTTCTAGGGTCAGCATGAAAAAATAGGGTTGGTCGGGAAACGGGAAACACAGCTATATTTGTATTTGGCCCAAGTTGAAAACTGAGAGCTATTCTTGGGATGATGTTACAATGCGTTTTAATTAACTAGGTAACAATATCAACATTTTGGGAAACATGTCATGTACATGAAAATTGTACTCTGATCAACACATTGAAAACTGTATCACCTGTAAACTATTGTGGACTGCAAATGAACTTTTAATAAAAATTTTTTTCCATATATGACAATCTTTAGCCTAGTCTGAACGTACTTGAGCATACAATAAAAAGGCATAAATAAGATAAAACATCAAACACAAACTTGTATGTGGGTATGAAATAGCTGTGTACATGTCCCCAGTATGACAGCTGTACAAGGTACAGTACAACTTATCCGGTGGAACACATATCTCTGTATGCCTGTACAACCATCCCCTATCTATATACAGAGATAGGCAAATTGTGTGCAGGCCAGCAAAATCATTTACTTATATAGATTTTTTAATAATTAGAAATAAGAAGAAAACATTGCTGATGTATTAAAACTACAATCACAAATTGAAAATGGATATTAAAAAAGATCTGTGTTTTCATGTTTCTGGTCTGAAAGAAAACCAACCCTCACCTGGGGCATTAAAACTACAATTACAAATTGAACTTTTTCTTAAAGGGGTTTTATTACAAGAGTTATCACCACATCCCACATGGAAATATCACCATCAACCAACCAGAATGCAGCAATTCTGGAAGGAGGAAGTTTGTTACCTGTGAGGGAGCAGGATGGACCTGTGCCGCTGGGTGGGGCGGAGCCTGCTGCGGGGTCGGCTGAACACTGTGATGGGGAGCATGGTGCATCGGAGACGAGTGTGGTAACGCTCCCTGGTTTACACTGAAAACAGGTGATACAGACAAGGTATCGTTCCTGTAAGCATTCATACACTTTATAATGTATCCTTCCCTTAAACATCCCTACACTTTATAATGTATCCAATTCCAGTCCACACAGTAAACACTACATAATTCGCCTGTTTTCTTCTTCTTCAAAACTGAGAATAAGTGAACTATAAAATTAATGTAATAACACTGCTGTACTACCAGGACTATTATCAATTGATTATTAGAGCATACAGTCTTCGGCAGAATTTCAAAAGTAAAGCAGGGTTCAACTAACACTAGTCCGAGACTAGTATATTTCAGTCAGGATTTGTGAATTACCTAACCTTGCTGGCCTTTTGGACTTGTCAACCAATATGTTATCAAATGATAGATTAGTTATAAAATAAGAATATTACTTTAAGAAAACCTGCTTAAAATACAGATATCTTGCCCAATATTTGTCAAAATTTTCCTAAAACTTCATCATGTCTTTATGGCAGTAGTTATTTCATGTCCACTACACGAGAAATATCGCGATACGATGTATTGTTACAGCCCTAGTAAATTGTTCCTCTATACTCACGGGAAGTTCTGCATTGGGTACTGTAATGTTGTGGGCATATTCTCTGCACCAGTGGTTCCCGGACCTGTCCCTGCCACGTCTCCAAACCTCTGGGCAGACGGGGCTAACACACGCGGGTACTGGGGTTCACTTGGGTTCACTCGACGAGGCTGCACACATAAAATCAGGTCAGATTGAACTACAGGGCAGACATTTACATTGACAGGAATATAGTTTTGAAATCAAATATGTCAAGTTTCTTTAAAATAACTTCTGATGTTCAAAAGTTATAATTGAGCTCTAAATCAGTTGAATTTGTCTAACCAGATGGTCTGATCTACTAACCCTACCTACCCTAGATTTTTGTGTCTATACTTAAGTTTTTATTGGCATTTAGTGATATGTACTGTTGAAGTCAGAACTCCTGCTCTATATAAGGCCTAAAAAAATAATACCTGTGTTTCCGCTAACAAGCCAGAAATAAATAGGGTAGGTTGGTCGGAAATTCTTTTTATCTTTAAATAGTTTTTACGAATGCTATATAGAGGTAGAAACCTGACTTTAATAGTCCTTCCTTGAAAATGGCCAAAAAATCTTCAGGGTAGACACAAAAATATAGGGTTGGTCGGGTTGGCAGAAACACATGTACCGTATTTGTTTTTTTAGGCCTAAGGAAAGTGGTTTTTTTTAAATAAAATGGAAAAATTTGCCTATCTACCCTGTTTTTTTCTCCGAGGATGATAGCAGAAACACTAGTAATTTCTCTCGCCATGTCTTACCTGCTCGTCCAAGCGGCGCTGCATCATGGCCACTCTGAACGGTCAGCACAACTCTGGCTCTACACCACCAGTAACAGGTGGGGCTCGTAGGGGTGAAACTCAATACAGGGGATTCTCAACCTGAAATCATCACTACAATTAGTATCTCCCCTTGCTGTATTAGGCATGTACAATATAAAATAGGAGTACTGCTACTGCAGGGACCAAGCATAAGACGTCTTTCTGTGGACCACACCTATCAGACCCGAGGGAGCTGTCCGGCCTTGGGACTTGCCTGCTAGCAGGACCAGGACTTTTGAATCTCTAAAAGGGCGAGTAAATGCCACCTACCCCTTTACGACCAATGCACACAAACCTTGAAAAATGACGATAAACACCTAACCAACCAACTAAATGTACAATTTCATGATTCTGAACAATCCTACTAGTTGCAGCACATGCGTTCATTATTTATCACTAAAAATGCTAGTCGACACTAAAACTACTAGTCAACACAGGCATTGGGTTGGTGGAATTCAATACCTCTGCTCAACCATACTTTATTGATAAATCAATATTTTGAACCAGGCTTAAATTATGTAGACGACATTTAAAAAAAAAAAAAATTCAACAGGAAATAAGATATATTTTCCAGCAATGATTTTGCATTCCTTTCTGCAACAGTTAACATAAAAGGGAATCAAAATTATCAACTTCTATTGCTTATTGCATTATCATATTGCTTATAATGAAGATGAATTTATACATCAAAATTTTTAATTGTTTTCCTTGTATTTAATTTCTTTACAATATTCATAATATCGTGAATAAATGTTGACCAATACACCTGATATGACAGTTAGTGTACATGTTACTATTTTTAGATAGTTTTTGGGTTTTGTTCATTTTACCCCTTCACTCTTCAGCAGAGAAAAGTGCTGTATACGTACCTCTTCAGCAAAACACAGGTAAAATTTATATGTTTAATCAAATATCAATGAACTATTTATTTTATTCTTTTAATTCACAATACTTTAACAGTAAAAATATTCAGAAGTATTTCACAGTTGAACCAAAACATCCTAACGAATGTTGGTATAAAGTGACTCACGGCTTACAGTAAACAACCTCTCTGGTAACCTGTTTCCCTACATAACCTCTCCAAATGGAATCGTCTTTAGCTTGATATACAAAAATGTCTACCTTCCCGCTAATATAGAAATTACTGTCTTTTTCAACTTAGCAGTCGTGTAAATATAAAGTTATTAGGGTAGTCTGATAGTAAGTAATATAATACTCATTGTTACATGTCTTACACTCCGCTAGAACGTGTAAGTTTTGCACCAAGGCGATTCTTTTGCGAGCCAAGTCGACGCGAGGGGTCAAAACAGTGTAAGGTTCCAAAAAGGACATTTTCATTTACCCGGTATGACATTGATACCGTACAGATGTTCACAATTTACTCACAGTTTGTAAAACGATGTTTATAGTTTATAAATACATCAATATTATAAAAATGGCCCATAATTTAATGCAATACGAATAAAAAATCCAAGGCTACTGTAAACCGCAAGCAGACAGCTGAGTGGACGAGTCCATTATTCAAACCTCAAAATGTTCGGTACTTTTCATCAATTTTCAGGGAATCTGTCGCATGCATTTTTATAATAAGTCTGCAGTGTCTGTCTATAACAGTGTTTCACTTCGTGTTAGCACTGAGCAAGTAGGTGACATTATGGTTCGATATGTAGAGACAAAAATATTATTGCTAAATAGGACAACTTCGGGCCAAGGTTGTTAGATCTGTATCGGGATTTTCCCTCCACTTGAAAACAAATACTACAGCATATAGACTTTCATATACGTAAATCATATGTTTATCATGAAAAATACTGACAAAATATCATAAAAGTCCTCACTTACCGATAAACAGTTAACAGATGATCTTGATTTTCATGGATTTGCTTTGGGATTCTCTCTTCGGAACTCCATTCAGCAAACACCAACACAATTTCTGGAACTCCCGTACGTCATTATATTAACCAATCAACACGTCTGTAACATTTCAAAACCACTGCGGGAAAACATGTAAACACACTATGCTTCCGGGTCAATCGAAAGGTCACAACTTGCGCTTTGTCCAAAAGTGGCAGTGTTTGTAAGCCCAAAATGATATTATTACGGGTACCTTGCAAATATTTTTCTTAGACATATTAGTTTATATGACCAATATGCACCACCAGGCGAAATTTGGTAAATAATTTCTTTTGATATTTTGAGTTGGCGGAGAGGTGCAAGTGTTAGGGTAGCGGTGCATATCCCGTGTCTACACTCGAACACTCGGATTTGTGTTCGAGTAGGCCTAGAGTAGGAACTTGTTCCCAAATCTGTACAATTTGTTCTTTGTGAACATACATAAGATACAATAATTTTTATTAAAGTCGCATATTTAAAATAATAAAACATCAGCATTTGCCATGAAATGCAGATTTTGTTCAACATCCATTTACATTAAAGACCAGTGGAGTATTTAAGTTTTCAATTAAGAGAGGCAAAATTCTGTTTTCAAGCAACAGCCAATAACCATGACCTGTGACCGCTCACTCCTTAAATCAATGAGCTTATTTGCAATCACTCGGGAAGTTTCTATGGAATTTCATTCTTAAGTTACTAATGGGACACAGGGTCACGTTACAAATGTCTGAAATACTGATACGGGTCACAACACACATGTGTATGTTTATGTGTTGTGCCCCGTATCAGTATAGCATATGTGTATTTCAGACATTTGTAATGTGACCCTGTGAGTGGGACAAACACAACAAAACAAATTGTTTCTCTATTTTCTATGACCTTGACCTCTGTTAGATCACATCTATAACCAAAAGAGTTTCAACAACCTAACTCATCAAGCAGAATTCTATTTTTGGCAATACTGACCTTGACCTTTGGTGCACCACAACTAAAATCAATAGGGCTCTGCATCCACTACGGCAGCCCACACACAAATTTGAAAATTTTACGATAATTAGTCCTTTAGTTATCATCTGGACAATCCCTGAACCAAGTATAATTCTATTTTAAGCAATGGTGACCTAAACCTCTGGGGCTCCACGACCAAATTCAATAGGGCCACCCACACACCAATATTAAACTTTGTATGATCCTTTGTTCTCAACTTATCATCTGGACATACCAGTAACCTAGAAGTATTAAACTTTTAGCAATGGTGACCTTGACCTCCAGTGGACAATGCCAAAAACAGAACAGTATTCTTTGTATCCCTAAGGGCAACCCATGCATCAAGTTTGAACTTTGTGTGATAATTGAATTTCAAGTTATTTGGGCAAGCCCAATCAGCAGAATTCTATTTTTAGCAGTGGTGACTTTAGCAAGTGTAAACCACACACCAGGTTTAAACTTTTTATGATCATTCATCCTAAAGTTATCATTATGACCAGCCAAACCAAGCAGTATTTCTATATTTAGCAATGATGACATTGACCTTTGGTGGACCATGCCCAAAATAAATAAGGTTCTTTGCATTCACTAGGGCAACCCACACACCAAGTATCATTTGGACAAATGGATGGATACGTTTGAAAACAATAAAATATCTTGACTTGACTAGGTGTTCCAGGGTGAACACAATTTTCAGCTCACCTGGTCCGAAGGACCACAGTAATCTTATGTCGTGGGGCAGCGTCCGTCGTCAACTTTTTTTTTAAAAACCTATCTCCTCCTAAACGCCAGAGAGGATTTCAACGAAATTTGGACTGAAGCATCAGTAGGGACGGGCAATCATTTCTTCAATAAATGAGGTTTGTTCGACCCCTGAGGCCAGTGGGGCGGGGCCCTGGAGGGGAACTTAGCTGAATTTGCTTTAAAATGCATCTCCTCCTAAAAACCAGAGACGATTTTAACCAAATTTGCTCTGAAACTTCATTGGGGGAGGGCAATCATTTCCTAAATAAATGAGACTGGTTCGACCCCTGGGGGCTAGAAAGGCCTGGCCCCAAAGGGGAAATTATCTAATATTTTGCTTTAAGACGCTAATATCCCATAATTGCCTGAGTGGATTGTACAAAATTTGATCAAAAACATTATTGAGGAAGAACAAACATGAGGTTGATTTGACCCCTGCGGTCCTAAGAAATGGTACAGCTAGATTATCATATTCTATGGTGTAGTTTTCATAGATTGTTTAAAATTTGTTTCTAGGTTTATAAAAGCTTATAGTTGAATGAAAATTAAAGTATTGTCTAATTACACCCTTATTACTTATTTCAAAATCTGTTAACATGGCAACTCAATGGAGGCCCCTGATTAGTTGAAGTTCAGATATTGTGGTCCCAGTTGGGTTAGAACATGGATCTTGTCTGGTTTTGAGGAAATTTCATATAAAGATGTACTAATGCATTCAGTTATAATGACTTATATATAAAACCAGGTGAGCGATACAGGTCCAATGGACCTCTTGGGTGGTTTTTTTTTAAAAAAAAAAGGGGGAGGGGGGAGAGAATGTGACAAGTTTAAAGAAGTCCTCCAAATGAAGTGGGCAACTTATTATTACTGAGGTTAATTCATCTTATATTTCCATTCTGCCTTTGATCGTGATTAAAGGAGATGTTAACGTGGTGGTCTTAACCCTTTCACCACTGTGAACCATAATGGACTCATTCAGATCAATGCATGGTAGAGTCTACTAAAGTTACATGGGGTGAAACGGTTAAAGTTCCAGACAACAAAGTCATCATCTGCGGAATGGCTGCCACAGGCTGGCTTTTGTTTTGTAAAAGATGTGCATTGATTTGGTTGCCTTACAACCGTCAGCTGTAGGGAATTTCCCTTTAGCTGAGTCGGCAGCGGTAGAGCATCAGGTTGGAGAGTCAAGGGTCGCCAGTTCGAGCCCCAGCGACGGCACTATATTTATCACTATTCCTCATCCTACTACATAGCTGGTGCTGTTACATTCAAGGTAGGAGAACCCTTGGCGGTCAAAGAACTTGGGTTGGTGTTCGAACAAAGGAGGGAATAGTGTAAAAGATGTGCATCGATTGGATTGCCTTACAAGTGTCAGCTGTAGGGAATTTCCCTTTAGCTCAGCGGTAGAGCATCAGACTGGAGAGCCAAGGCCAGGGTCGCAGGTTCGGGCCCCAGCGACAGCAGTCTTTATCACTATTCCTCGTCCTACTACAGATTGGTCAAAATTTGGGTATTACCTGATTTTGCTCAATTTTGATATGTAGGTACCACTAACACTGCATTTTTTTTTGAACTAAAAAGCCACTGATGATTGTCCTCTGATTGGTCAAAATTTAGACATTGTCCTATTTTGATCAAATTTTGTTTGTTAGTATTTAATGCAGGATCATGAATACATCTGCATTTCAGGGCAAAATAGCTGCCATAGAATGGCTTTCAATTGGTTAAAATTTAGGTATTGTCTGATTTTGACAAGATTTGGTATATAGGTGTGTAATGGTAATGTGATCACTAACGCAGCTTTTATTTTCTGTTCAGTCTACTGGCTTCTGATTGGTCGAAATTCAGATTTTGTCCGTTTCTCCTCATATTGCCTTACTGGCAAGCTAGCTTTTCCAGTGATGTGGTATAACCCGTGGCCCCCTCACTAGTTGAGCAACGTCGAGCGTGGTCAGTCGTTGGATGGGTGACCGCCCGTGCGTTACAGTATTATGGCATCAGGATCTTTTTTTTCTTGTGCAATGTTACGACTATGTGGGCAGTTTGGGGGATTTTGGTAATGGTACCCATTAAAATTAGAACTTAAGTTGTTGTATATATAAAAGATTATAAAGTAACCTTCTAGCTTTGTGCTTAAGAGGAAACGTCCCTTTACCTCAATAGGTAGTCAGCAACGGACAAGGGAGTTAGGGGTTGCTGATTGGGTCCCAGGGGGAAGCAAACTATATTCTTTTTCCTGTTTCATGTGTTTCAAGAACATTACGGCTTGTGAAAATCATGTCGGTGTTGAGACCGAATGGGCCTCTTGCTCCGAGTCATTCTTACTGATAATAGCATTCTTTACAATCATCAGAAAATCTCAAGACAGATCACGTGAATCTGTCGAGAAGTAGGGGAGTGGTTGGGCACAGTGCTTGATGATGCTGTGATGTGAAAGCGAATGGCTCACCAAAATGGAAGCTTAGTTTGGCACTCAGAAACTGGAATTTCCAGATTCTCTATTTGGAGTGTTAGTTCAGTAACAATATATTTAAATCCATTTTGTGTATCCCCTTGCCTAGCATATATACACACTACTAAGGAAGCAAGGACTGGTCACATTTTTTTTATTAATTTATCAACAGAAAAAGAACTTTGGCTTGAGTACAAAATCTGAGTTTTAGCAAGAGAACAGTTTCATGAATATAGGCCCAGGTCTTGCAGCAAAACACAGGATTAATTTGAAATTACATTTACAGTCTACACGGACATTCAATCTATAACCGTTGTTCCTACAAATTGGAGTTATCATCTCATAACCATAGAACGTGACAAGTATTCATGATGTAAGCAACAATACATGTGGGTGGAGCTATGCAAATGTCCACAAATGAGACGCAATTTATGACGTCATCAACAGTAGATGTGGGTTGAGTTAATCAAGGCTCATGTAAATTTCAGGCGGTTATTCTTATTGAATTGATCACACGTTACCAAGTTTTTGAAAGAAATTTGTGTCCACTGTTCAGACAAATGAATAAAACAATTATGAAAAACTCGCAGAAAAAGACTAAATAGAAGGTATACCGTAGTATCTATTTTGATCAGGTTATCAGGTGATAACTCTAGTTAACAATGTGTAAATTGAAAAGATGGCTGCTTCGTGATTATCTAATGTTGAGATTTGAGTAAAAGAATAAACTCCATGTCATTTAGCACTAAACTTCAGTAAATGAGGACAAACACCAATGTTTAACCTGTGGTGGGTTTTTATTGTCATCTGAATATCACAATGCAAATTGGGCACGCTTCCACTTTAGCAAATGACTACATCTTACATGTGCAAAATTACTTAAACATAATATACAACATTGCGAACTGTACAAATTCTGTGTATGTGTAATACACATGTTTTTATAAAATAATTATACATCGATGTTCAGTGGAGGTACAAGAAATTTACTTTAAGGGTACATGTTACCTTAATGTGACATTTACACCTCCATTACAAAAGAGTTCCCACAAAGAAAACCTATACATAGGTTCTTACGATTGCTTGTAGGTAATTTCAATTTTAAGCACAATTTAGGACAGAAGGACCCACATTTATTTTTCTTACAAAATAAAAAAAAGATATTTGACAAAATTATGTATAAGCACATGACTACTGCTGTGAACATGAATGAATGAAATGTACATTTGACACCCTGGTGAAATACTGGCTTCTTTCTGACTCAGCTAGGGAGAAATTCTCTTTAGCTCCTATTGGTAGAGCGTTTGACTAGTAAACCAGAGATCTCTATGTGGATGCCAGTGTAACAGAGGTCATTATATTTTCGATGTCTCTAGTAGGGTTAGAAAATCTCGGGTTGTTCTGAATTACCAAATAATATCAATTGATTTTGTGTATGGTAACTACTGGTAATACAAATCACTGCCGGTATACCTAAGGTACCATATGTCACCCGGCACAACATACTACTGCTTCCTACCGGTAATACAAATCACTGCCGGTATACCTAGTTACCATATGTCACCCGGCACAACATACTACTGCTTCCTACCGGTAATACAAATCACTGCCGGTATACCTAAGGTACCACATGTCACCCGGCACAACATACTACTGCTTCCTACCCACTCGGCTAGGGAGAGTTTGTCTTTATCTCATTCAGACGAGCATAAGGCTAGTAAACCAGAGGTCCCAAGTTCGACTCCTACCGGAGGTATTGAAAAAATTAAATGACCTCTGTTACACATATATCCTTGACATACTCAACAAAAGTCATAGAAAAACATTCTATGCTTTACTTGAATTAACTTTTTTACAATATGATGTATTTCTTTAACTTCAGAAATTATTTTGGAATACACATGTGATCCTCAAAAAAGGAAAGATATCCAGGTGCATCTGGTATAAAAATTAACTAAATAAAAAATGGGCCAAATTTGGCCCTTACTGGACCTTGTCCTTTGTATTAACATATATCCATACACCAAAAAAGCTTAGCAAGAAAACATAGAATTTTTTTTTTTTACTTCATGCTTCATTTAAATCATTTAAAATACCCGAGTAGATTCTATCTGCTGGGGAAAAGTGTTTGTAAATATATAACAGTTTTTCTCCATGATATCTAAAGTATGTTAATTAAATCCCAATGAAAACGTCACAATGAAAAGTCCATGTACCAGATGGCTCACAATACATTTCCACTCGGAGTTCCTCTGGAAGCATTACCAGAAGAAATTGCATTTATAGAGCTATGAATGCAATTTGATCAATGTCATTTCGAAGCTTCTCATCCTGCCTTGAATAACATGACACAACCATTAGAAGCAAACATTTCGGTGACATTAGGCTGTTCCAACAGTCTCATTTGCACTGAAGACAGACGCTTCAATATCAAAAATATATGGGAATATCAAATTTATTAATAACAAAAGTTTACAATGTAAATATAAGGATTGAACGACATTTTTCCAATATTCATACTGGTATAAATTGAAAAAATGCCATTCAATTCTCATGTAATGATATTTACAATGTATTTCAAACCTCCATGGATCCTATGGTTCACAACAGCAACCAGAAACAACAAGATAATCATTGTCGAAGTTATTTAAACTTGTTATAGTCTAAACAATGTTATTCAATATGATCAAACTATCACAATATTTTACAAAATTAGAAATGATTTTAAAATATACATAATAATGAAATTATTTACAACCCCAAAAATATACTGCACATATTGCAGATGTACCTACTTAAGTGGTACACACATTTATCAGCACTTGATCAGTGCAGTTGACCTACCGAGAATCGCAGATATCTTTCCTTTGAATGTATTTAGGACCAATTTACTGTAAGAATAATGTGCTTAATGAAGAGTATTTGTACAAAAATAATGAATTTCACAACTCTTGTTCATTTGGAATTTTGGATGATTTTCTAAAGATTAAATAAAAATCACCAAATTATCTTAATTTCCATATAGTTATCAAAAATAACGTTATTTTCATTACCCGGTACGAAGTTCTTAATATTTATAGAAACTGCTCACTTTTCACAAGAGCTGATTCTATACCTAGTGAGAATACAATTAGTCATCTGATTTGTCTGGAGTTATCTCCCTTGCGATGCATGTTTCCCACTAAGGAACTCTTTTTAAAAGAAGATTTGATTCACAGTAAGATAGCAAACACCCTTAACATTGATACGGTCCAGGCGTCCTACAACCAAAATAAAGAACTTATTTACATTCAGATATTGCACAACATGTACATTGTCATTTAAACAACAGCTCCAAACTATTTATGATAATTCACTTCTGGGTCGTCCCGTGACCAAAAGTTAAACAATGAATCTTCCCCTCTATATTTACCAACTACAGACAAGTTTATATTCATACTTAGTTTAAAGCCCACACCTTAACTGACAAATTACACCTTGTCAGTCTCTCTATATCCCCAAACGAAATCATCCTTACAAGGTGGTCAAATGTGACCTCTGACCTTTAAACCTTAATTAATGGATGACCACTATAATCTAATCTTGACGTTACAGTACTAAAAACATGAACTAAATCTGATGAGGGAGTTTGTGAGGTATCTTGTACACAACTTATTTCTCTTCCAAAGTATGTCCTTTGACCTTTGAGCAATGACTGATGACCACAAAAACTTAATCAGAATAGAAACATAATCTGCTAAAAGGTTTATGATATCTAGTACACAAGTTTTATCTACAGACAGACAAATACAGATGCATTTACAAAGAGCTTACATTACACCCCCCCCCCTCCCCCCCCCAAAAAAAAACCCCACCATAATACATATATCTTGATTAATAACAAATGAAAACAAGATTTAACAACACTGAGCAAAGCTCAGAAGTTTTATCTACAGACAGACAAATACAGATGCATTTACAAAGAGCTTACATTACTACCCCCCCCCCCCCCCCCCCCCCCCCCCCCCCCCCCCCCACAAGGGTTGGGGTGTGTAAAAACATAATACATATATCTTGATTAATGATTAATAACAAATGACAACAAGATTTAACAACACTGAGCAAAGCTCAATAAATATTCAAGGCCTATTTTTCATGAACGTTCCTTAATGTAATTTAATTCTGTGTCTTATATTCTTAAATTAGAAATGATTTTAAGGAAATTCTGAAGTAGCAATGCTTTTAAATGGAAGAAACTAAGTAAAGTAGCTGGAGAAAAACCACCGACTTACGGCCAGTACCTGGCAACTCCTACATGTAGTTAGTCGGGCCTTGAATCCGCAACCCAGAAGTAGAGGGCTAGTGATCCTAGACAGTCAGATACCTTAACCATTTGGCCACCGCTTATCACATATTAAATTACTAAATACAGGACTCAAATTTACATTAACAATGTTCTTTATATCAAACTTACATTGTAGTTACTCAGTAGGTCGCGCACAAATCAACATCACATCGTACATTTCATACCTACCACTAGTCAAATATTCTATATGAAATAAACGATAGTGAATGAAATGTTCTGGCTGATCCCATTAAGGTAAAAGGTACCAATGCATCAGTTATAATCATGAAGAAGAGTTCTTATAGGAGATTTTTGATTTGGGAGTAATCTCCCTTATATATAGAAGATGAAGCAACCAAAATACTTTTTGTATGTTAGAGTAACTTCCCCTGTCAAGCAATGCATTTTTCAATGTTTGTTTTTATTTTCATAGACTTTGCAACTGATAGCTTCTGATACCTACCTGGACGACAACAATGGAAAAGAATAGCCTTTGCAATGTAAAGGTCCTGAGAATGACCCCTGCAGTTTTTCTTTTTTCTTTCTTTTGTTTATTTCTCTTTTTTAAAATATTCAACTTTGAAATAGCTACTGTTTACTTTCGCCTTTTTCACCCTTCACAACGAGGGCGAATATATCATGACAGCAAATTTTAATACACGACATGTTATATATAGTAATTACATGTGAATGGCGAAATTAACAATGAGCAAAATGGATTTTATTGGAAAAGAGTGAAAGTTTCCAGGTATACAGTAATGCTGTGAAAAGAATCACATCTGATATTTTTTATGGAATACTTGTTTTGAAAAGGACTTAAATAAATACTTAGCAATAGTGACAGTAGTAATAATTTTAGTTGTACCTGTTGGTACCTTTTACAGTTACCTAAAATAACCTGAACATTTTATATGCCGAGTGCTCTGTCTCTGTGCCAAAACACTTTATATGCTGAGCGCTCCATCTCTGTGCTAAAACACTTAATATGCCGAGTGCTCCGTCTCTGTGCTAAAACACTTTATATGCTGAGCGCTCCATCTCTGTGCTAAAACACTTTATATGCTGAGCGCTCCATCTCTGTGCTAAAACACTTTATATGCTGAGTGCTCTGTCTCTGTGCCAAAACACTTTATATGCTGAGCGCTCCATCTCTGTGCTAAAACACTTCATATGCCAAGTGCTCTGTCTCTGTGCCAAAACACTTTATATGCCGAGCGCATCATCTCTATGCTAAAACATTTTATATGCCGAGCACTCCGTCTCTGTGCTAAAACACTTTATATGCCGAGCGCACAGTCTCTGTGCTAAAACACTTTATATGCCGAGCGCTCCGTCTCTGTGCTAAAACACTGCAAAAATTCAGTTCCTTCACACATCTAGATCGTGAAATTATAATCTGTGTCAACTTTAATTTACAAATTTTGGGTCAAATCGCGAATAATTTACGCCTGCGTAAATAACCCGATTATACAGTATTTTATATATTAATGTTAGAATTGGTTGATTTAAATAACAAAAGAGTCCAGATTACTGACGTTCCTATTACACTGGGTCTTGATGACAAGTGATGACGTCATCAACAAGATTGTTCCTATAACACTGGGTCTTGTTGACAAGTGATGATGTCATCAGCGATGATTGTAAAGATTTCGTCAAAATGGTTGGCGATACGTAGGAGCTGTGAAGTTCATCGTTGTGTAGAACAGCACAAATCCAGCAGAAGTCTGAAAGAAAAAGAACGCAAAGAATTTGATAAATGAACATAAAACGACAGGAAATATTAAATCTCAAATCATTAGCAGTCAAGGAACAGAGTATATTGGAGAACAGCATAGCTGGCCTCACGATCACAATAAATAGTGTTCAACACGGGATGAAACTTCTGAGAATTTGAAATAATTTGTTCTGTTTGGACTTCGGGAACCTCTGCCAAATATCAGCTTCCTACATTTAGAACAAATACTGAATGTTATATTAATCAATGATAACTAAAACTGAAGATAAAATTTAAACCTGGATATTTTGGCAAAGATAAGTTGAAACAGGTAAAATTTATAAAAAATAAATAAATTCTGTTTTGACTGCAGTGTAAATCAGTATTGGAAACTTTAGTGTTAAATGTCAGCATCAAAAATACTAAAGGTTATATTTTAATATTTTGCCCTGGTGGTAGGGAAAAATTAATCTCCCAGATTTATCACATTTAAATATGGGCAAAGACATATAAGAAATTCGTTCACTATAGACTTATTTACAGAAAATAATGTTCAGAAGAATATCATTGACAGGGAACAAAAATATGAACCATGATATACTGTCAATATTTTTCCAGCATGATCTTGCATCATTTTAAAGGGGTTTGGCAATACATGGAGGGAGACATATAAATGGGCAGTAAATAAAAAATGTACTGATGGTAAGTGGAGAGGAAAACAGAGGTAAAACAATGACACGACACAGTAATATCTGTGTAACTCACGATCCAGTTCTGACCTACCTTGACCTCTGAACTGGACATGTCAAACACCTCATGGTCATCAAACTTGTACCACTTCTTGGACACAGCATTCTTACAGTAGGCAGTGTCTGTACGAAAGACAAATACAGACTATAACACAAATATAGTGTATTACTTACAGTAGGCAGTGTCTGTACGAAAGACAAATATAGATTATAACTCAAATATAGTCTATTACTTACAGAAGGCAGTGTCTTTACGATAGAAAAATACAGATTATAACACAAATATAGTCTATTACTTACAGTAGGCAGTGTCTGTACGAAAGCCAAATTCAGATTATAACACAAATATAGTCTATTACTTACAGTACGCAGTGTCTGTACGAAAGACAAATACAGATTATAACACAATTATAGTCTATTACTCACAGTAGGCAGTGTCTGTACGAAAGACAAATACAGTTTATAACACAAATATAGTCTATTACTTACAGTAGGCAGTGTCTGTATGAAAGACAAATACAGATTATAACACAAATATAGTCTATTACTTGAAGATTACTTAAATCAACAAGTTCAATTCTGCAGACAAAGATTATAACATTTTATACTAGGTTATGTGTGTGATAAAACTACCAGACAAAGATTATAACATTTTATACTAGGTTATGTGTGTGATAAAACTACCAGATATAGATTATAACACCTTATACTAGGTTATGTGTGTGAGAAAACTACCAGACAAAGATTATAACACCTTATACTAGGTTATGTGTGTGATAAAACTACCAGACAAAGATTATAACACCTTATATAAGGTTATGTGTGTGATAAAACTGCCAGACATAGATTATAACACCTTATACTAGGTCATGTGTCTGATAAAACTACCAGACATAGATTATAACACCTTATACTAGGTTATGTGTGTGATAAAACTACCAGATATAGATTATAACACCTTATACTAGGTTATGTTTGTAATAAAACTACCAGACAAAGATTATAACATTGTATACTAGGTCATGTGTGTAATAAAACTACCAGACATAGATTACAACATTTTATACTAGGTCATGTGTGTGATAAAACTACCAGACATAGATTATAACACCTTATACTAGGTCATGTGTGTAATAAAACTACGAGACATAGATTATAACACCTTATACTAGGTTATGTGTGTGATAAAACTACCAGACATAGATTATAACATTTACACTAGGTCATGTGTGTGATAAAACTACCAGACAAAGATTATAACATTTTATACTAGGTCATGTGTGTGATAAAACTACCAGACATAGATTATAACATTTTATACTAGGTTATGTTTGTGATAAAACTACCAGACATAGATTATAACACCTTATACTAGGTTAATGTGTAGGGTAACATATATCCTAACTATAACACAAGTCACAGGTATAATGTGTAAGGTAACATATATCCTAACTCTAACACAAGTCACATGTGTAATGTGTAGGGTATCATATATCCTAACTCTAGCACAAGTCACAGGTATAATGCGTAAGGTAACATATATCCTAACTCTAACAAAAGTCACAGGTATAATGTGTAGGGTAACATATATCCATAACTCTAACACAAGTCACATGTGTAATGTGTAGGGTATCATATATCCTAACTCTAGCACAAGTCACAGGTATAATGTGTAGGGTAGCATATATCCTAACTCTAACTCATGACACAGGTATAATGTGTAGGGTAACTTATATCCTAACTCTAACACAAGTCACAGGTGTAATGTGTAGGGTATCATATATCCTAACTCTAACACAAGTCACAGGTATAATGTGTAGGGTAACATATATCCTAACTCTAACACATGGCACAGGTATAATGTGTAGGGTAACATATATCCTAACTCTACCACAAGGCACAGGTGTAATGTGTAGGGTAACATATATCCTAACTCTAACACAAGTCACAGGTGTAATGTGTAGGGTAACATATATCCCAACTCTAACACAAGTCACAGGTATAATGTGTAAGGTAGCATATATCCTAACTCTACCACAAGGCACAGGTATAATGTGTAGGGTAACATATATCCTAACTCTAACACAAATCACAGGTGTAATGTGTAGGGTAACATATATCCTAACTCTAACACAAGTCACAGGTATAATGTGTAAGGTAACATATATCCTAACTCAACTTACAATGACCACCATCCATTGTTCCATAGTGATTCTGAAAACAAAAAGAAAAACAAAATTTAAATTTAAACCACATATCATTTACATAAAACATGTGTATGGTTAATTGTTAATACTTGTAGTTATAATAAATATAAAATTTATACAGAATATAGAAAAATATAAACTTTATTTATTTTACAACAATTGTGAAACAAGTTATTATTTCAACTTATATTAATCACTCTGGTTGGCCCAGAAGTTAATTAGCGAGTGGAAGGTCTCAGTGTGGGAGGAAACGGGAGGAAACAAGATCTTGCATGCATGAACTTTTTGGAATTCTCATTTCAAAGACTGAAAGTTGATTTATGAAACGTTTCTTTTAACCAAATCATTATCAGTATTACAGGTGGCAATACGATCTGTACTTACAGACACACCATACAGGTGGCATTACGGTCTGTACTTACAGACACACCATACAGGTGGCATTACGATCTGTACTTACAGACACACCATACAGCTGGTTAAGATCTGTACTTACAGACACACCATACAGCTGGTAGTGAGGGTTTGTCCCTGGTCCTCGTGTAAACTTTTCAAGGCTCAGATCGTTGACAGGGAAGTCCACATAAGAGTTGATTTTCTGTCGCCACATACCCTCCCACACAAATCTGCCAACAGAAGTAAGGGGAAGACGCTGCTGTACTTTTGAAAAAATAATTTTTGATGACCTGATACATAAATAAATAAGAAATATGTGTTGGTTGTTGAAAGTGAAAATTGTCTCATTGCATGCTGCTTAACCCTTAAAATTGAGAACTTTTCACAAAATTTAAGTATCAACCAGGCCTGTAGCTGCCTATACGCTGTTACGCAGCTGAATCCACCACATTTTCAAACAGAAAAACTAATTTAAAAAAACAAACAAAAAAATTGCTTGTTGCACCCCCTGTCCCCCTACGAAGGCCCTGACCTGGGCCCGTATTCATTAGACTGTTCTCATGCTCAAGCATGGATTTTGTGCTCAACTCCAATTTCTTGTTCTGGTTGTAAATTAATAATAAACAAGAGGCCCATGGGCCTTAATGGTCACCTGATATATTTATACAGAGAGTTGATTTTGTTTTTAACATGAACAGAAATATTATTCAAAGTGACAAAAAACAATAAAACCACCTTACTCAATATCTAGCATACAGATTTCAGACTAAAAAGGATTTGAAACTAGCACCTCTGATTCTTAACAAGGAAAATGAAGAAATTTTAGCACACTGACTCCTTTGAGCCCCACCCTACAGCCCTTGGGGGTAGGGCTGGCTCAAAATTTTCAAAGTATCAAACTGTCAATTCAAGGTTATAATTCCAATCAAGTTATTA